CGACATAAATTTCAACAATCAGGCTGCAGGGTGGCAAGCCAACACTGGTAAAAAAAAACCTCTTGGACCAATGCCGCATTGCATTGACTTAAGAGTGCAGTTTCTTGTCGCCGGATTTAAGAGTCTTGAACTCTTGCTTCAAGCGGATTTTGCATTGATTCACGCGGATTTTGCATTGAAACTTGAGTCTAGACTCTTAAATCCGGCGACAAGAAACTGCACTCTTAAACCAAGAGGTTTTTTTCACCAGTGAAGTCCTGCATTTCCCCTAATCTTAAAATACCTGAATACGCAGTCGCAACTAGCGTTGCGCCCCCCTCCCTTCTGCCGTTCATAGAATTCGTAACGCTGGATTTCAGATTTTGGAACCTTCCCTCCCCCGTCGTAAAGTTCTTCGATAAAGGTCCCTGTCCCTTGACAAGTAAAAACTTAAGGGCCTGGTGCCCTCTTGGACTCCCCCCCCCCCCCTGCTAGAGCGTTACGCATTTTCTGAGCGAACCTTTACAGAAAGCGGAATAAGTGTGGATACGTGTCAGTCTCAAGATGGTAGAATATAGGGCTGGGTCCATACTATTCTACGAGCGAATCAAAGCTAAAAAAATTGCAACAGTTTTCATTAGAATCAAAAATGTGACCTACAGTGTTTAGCAGTGGAAGACCAATTTTAAGATGGGGTTTTTTTGTTTTGTCTTGTTCGTATCTCGAGAAATCCGAGAACGGTTGCAGATATAGGTTATTTCCATGCGGTAGGCCATACTTTCTTGAATGAACGTGGGCACAGAACGCTTTTACCGTCGTTTATAGTTATTTCATTTCACCCAGTTCAAGGTTGACTTTCCGTATATAACTTCTGCCTGGAAGACTCACCAAAATGCTGTTTTTTCTTGATAACTACTGCTTCTATTGCGGAGCGGAGACAAGACTCAATAGTAAACGCGGTATTTTCAAAAGCACATCTTTATAAAATACTTCCGCTGACAAAACGATAAATACCACGCTATTTGGGCTTTAATATTCACTTTTGAGGTATTTTATCTTCACTGCTTCATACTATACTGCTTCCATCGCGGAGTGGAGGCTCACTCAACACTCAACGCGGTATTGTCAAAATCACATCTTTATAAAATACTTTTAGTGACAAAACGATAAATATCACGCTATTCGGGCTTCAATATTCACTTTTGAAGTTTTTTACCTTCGCTTCTTAATGCTACTGCTTCCATCGCGGAGTGGAGACGAACTCAACACTCAACGCGGTATTTTCAACGAATTCAAGCCTTCATGAAACACTTTTTTCCGCGTTCGAAGTAAAAATCATTTGTAAAATATACTTTTCGTTTAACTCCTTCTTGGAAGGCTTACCAAAATACTATGTTTCTTCTTACACGAACTGATTGCGGTAGACGCGTGGTTCGTAAGACAGTAAGTTGGAACAAAATTAACAAAAAAAGGGGGGGAAAAGAAAAAAATAGTCCGAAAAAAAACCTAACTAAATCCCCCAAGGAATAGGAAAGGGTTGAGGTTTTAAACGCGATCTTCACCTACCCGGCCCACTGGCAGGACTTGTCGAATTAGGAGGGCCCTGGAACTATAACCCATTTTTATAAATTAAACTTATGTTGAAAAAAGTAAAAAGGAAAGGAAAGAGAGAGAGAAACATGCTCGAATTATCTGAGCGAGCCAACAAAAGAAAAACAAGAGTAATAGAAAGACCTGACTAAATCCCTCGGGGAGAAGGAAAAGGTTGGAGGTTTTAAACGCAATCTTCACATACCCGGCCCACTAGTAGGACTTACCGAAATAGGAGGGCCCTGGAACTATATCCCTACATGGACTAATAAGAAGAGTAAAAAAAAGAGGATAAAACAAGGAGGGTAAAATAATTAAGGAAGTGGGATTAGATGGAGTAAACGAAATATCTGGAAATCGTGCGAGTTTTTGCTTCCGCAAAATCGCAGAGATGACTGGACGGACGAGAACATTGCCAATTATTGCATCGTTGATTAGTTAGTTACTTGGTTTGATAAAAGGCGATCAGCTGCTTAGGCTATTTATGCCGCAGTCCAGAGGATTAAATTTAGAGTTTTCAAAAGTTTAAAAAGTTAAGAATTTTGGTAGTGACTATTTGGTTATCGGAGTTATAACATTGAAATATGTAGTATATTTGGTAAATAAAATATCTACTCTGGATAATGTCTCATGTACTCAAGTAATACGCTGCTCCGCACACGATCACGGGGTGGCTTTCGTTGTACCGATGACACTAAATTATACATATGAGGTTCTTTGTTCGTTTGACTCAAAGAACAAATCGTAAATACTGTATTACTCACCATACCTAGTAATTTTATCACGGAGAAGAGACGAAGCAAACATTGAACACGATAATCATGGACACTTTTCCATGAGGCATTGTCATTTGCGATCGGAGCAACATCAAAGCGAAAGCTTTCGATTTCTCTTTTCATTCAACTTGTCAACAGAACGTTACAACAAGTGAAAATTCAAAAATTCAATTTAAAATGAACAATGTGTTAAAAACAGAAAATAACGAGCTGCTGTAAAATATTCCGATAATGACGGTGCAACCGGAAACTCTGACTACAGAATCATCTCCGAGGAAAAATTATTCAAAATTAAATAATGGCACACAAAATGTAGGACGAGATCGAAGATGAGATGAATCGAACAAAAACTTACTGACGCTACTCAGTTTAAAAAGAAATAACACAAAGAGACGATGTAATGCCAGTGCAATAAGCCCACGCTGATGGGTACGATGATTAGTATACAGAAAATATCACAGGGTGGCGGTCCAAATGACGTTTGAACTTGTAATGTTGCGTGTACAGAAGGGTTCGGAAAATCAGTTAATGGGAGGTCACCCTCTAGCGGCTGATATCCAGCGACAAACCGTCCACCACCGACGCCTGAACCGCTTGTCGGTGTTCAGCGATTTCTCACGTAAATTATGCGATGTTGATCGTGAGCATACTAAGCTGCCCTCTTCAATTAGAGCACAAAATAATTGAGCATTGTGAGGTTATTGTTCCGATTTCAAATAACCTGTTGAGCTACAAAGCAGCTTAGAATTAACGTGACATACTTCTTTCGATGTTTAGAAACCCCGTCCCCCCTCGGGAGCCCCCACGTGATTTCTTGGACGAAAAAAACGTGAAAAACTTTCAGACACCTCGACACATTAGGAATCTCTTGACTTCGACGAGCGGTTACACCTGTACTTGCGACAGGTTGATGCAGATCACACTGGGAAAAAAAACACATTGGATCTGGAGTCCAGACTCCTAAGAACATCGACAAGAAAAAATACTCTTGATTCAATCAGATTTAAGCTTAAATCAAGAACCAAGCCTCTTAATTTGAGCGGATTTCGATTTGATTTAAGCTCAAATCTGATTGAATCAAAAGTCCTTTTTCTTGTCAATGTTTTCAAGAGTCTGGACTCAAGATTAAAAGTGTTTTTTTTCCAGTGCAATGATGGAGAGAGGAGAATCAAGGTATGAGAATTCTGAATAGCAAATCAGGTCCTGACTTTTTGCAGACATTAGCAAGCGCGCAATCGCAACAAGGTAAGATCCGTCCATAGAATACGTAACGCTAAATTTCAGGTTTTTCGACACCCCTCCCCCTCCCGCTCGTTAAGTTTTTCGACGTAGGTCCCTATTCTTTAACACGTAAAAACAAAATGGCATGACGCTCTTCTCGACCCCCCCCCCTCCACCAGAGCGTTACGTATTTTATGAGCGGATCTTTACAGAAAGTGCAATAAGTATGGATATTCGTCAGTATCGGGATGATAGAATAGTGCTGGGTCCACTCTGTTCTGCGGGTAAATTAGGGCCAAAAAATTACCTAGTTTCGTTGGAGAAATAAAGGCCAAAAAATTATTTTCATTGGAGGCGAAATATGAATTCCTATGTCAGGGTGTCTACTATAACAGGCTGGCCAAAAAACAGTACTTTTATAAAACTTTTTCGGTACATTCCCAGGTAATTCAGTACCTCCTCAGCGGGAAAAATCAGTACTTTTTCAGTACTTCCAATTGACGACATTCGAAAAATTTCAAAAATTTGAATTTCTCGCTCAAATTCCGACAAAAATGAAAAAAAAATTGAAAAAAATCCAGACCTTCTTCCGAAATTTCCGCACTTTTTCAGTATTTCCGGACCGTTCTGAAAGAATCAGTACTATTTCCGGACTTGTAGACACCCCGGATGTGAATCAGTGCAATACTGATTTACAGTGGGTTTTTTCCCTGTCTGGTTGATACCACGAGAACGGCTGTAGATTTAGATTTGCAGTATGAGCGAGACTTTCTTGAATGAACGTTGGCAAATTTTTTGGGGGATGATGTAACTCCCCGCCCCTAAGGGGCCGGGGGACAATTTGCAAATTCCAAATGGAAACCTGCATAGTGTAATACCTCGTCAGAGAACATACAAAAATAACAGTTTGGATGAAAATCGCAAGTAGCTATGTATCACCGTTTCAACATGGTGGCCAATTAAAGTTAAAAGGCGAAAAATTAATGGTTGTTCACTAGCAGATTAGGAAGAAACTTGGCAACCGCGTGTTTCTTGGCACGAGAAGATCAAATCTGACGTCCGCATGTCAAAATCATGATTTATTTTCCAAATGGCGCTCTTGAAAGTAGCAGGAAAAGCATATCTCCCTTGTGGACCGGCAAATTAGGATAATATTGGGTGCTTGGGAGTTTCTTGGCCCGAAAAGAACAATTCTGATATCACGTTTCAAAAACACAGCACTACTTTCAAGATTATAACCTTGAAAATTGCGAAAAGAATGTACTCTATGAAAAAATCGAATGTTGAAAATTTCAAATTGAAAATTCATCCAAAAAACAAGGGACAATCACTATTTTCAAGTTTGCAGATTCAGTTGATCTTTTTTCCTTTTGAGTACTTTACACATAATCAGAAAACTTTCAGGAAAATGAAGAGGCAAATAACGGAAATCTATTTAGAATATTATAACCCATTTGCCAGATTTACTTATTATTTTTTTCAAAATAACAAAAACTTATGACTGATGTCTATTGCTATCAGATAAGACAGGCAAAAGAACACTATAAAAGTGAAAATGGCACACAAATGAAGTAGGTCTAGATTCCAGGACACTGAAAACTGGGTATAGTGGTTAAATTTACTATTTTATGAATACAAAAGGAAGCAAGAAAATAATTAGATTTCTCTCAAAAGATAAATAGTTACATATCTTCATTCATTTTTTTTTCAATGGAAATTGAAAAATCTAACTACTCAGAAATAAATTACTATGAATTGCCACTTAATGAAGTGCAATAAGAGAAGTGCATTGGACAATTTGAAACACAAATCCTCTTTCATGAGAAGATGAAGATTTCCAAAAATCAAGTTACAACAAGTTTACTTCATTACAAGTAAAAAGAACACGATAAAAAAGAAGAGAAGAATAGAAATGAAAAACAAGTGGCAGTTTTCCAATTACCTAGACCTGAACAAAATTGGATTGCACAAAGCTGATGAATGAGTTGTTTACCCATTCTGCTGTACAAAGCAGAAACTCCATAACTGACTGCTAGATTTTACATTCCTTCCTCCGACCAAATGCATAAATCAGAGGCTACTCAATTATCTTCGTGCTTCATTACTTCAGAACTGGTTCTGGGTAGTATAAAATGGTTATTCTGAGAATACACAGGATGAATAGTCACTGGTCATTGTGTGTTAGAGCATTTAGGCTCAAGAGACTCAAGAGACAATCAAAGACTCTAGAGTGGCGTCACAGTGTTTTCCCCTTGGACAGCAGTACTGGTAACATTTGAGTTGCCGAACAAGCAACTTGACAGTTTGAACTAAGGCTTAAACAAGCTCATAGAATGACTTCCTTAAATTTAAGGAGAACCTAACGTAGAACAGCTAGATGAAATGTTGTACAACATTGATTTTTCGCAAAATGTACACACAGAATTATTTTAAGGCGGTTTCCTTACAATAATAAAAGTTAATACTTTCCTATTTACATACAAAGCAAGAATTTACATAGACAGAAAGCGATAGAATTAGCGAAAAATTGATTTTAAATCAACGGAAATCTGAGAGTTGAAAATAAAATTTGGCTCAAACTCGAAAATATTCGGTTGTACTCCCGGAAGTTTGAGGGTATTCGTAAATAAAATACGTACAATTCATTCTTATCTCTTAAGAATAATTCGACAACGAAAACAATACATTTGTACAAATAGACTAATTTAAAAGAAAAAACATTGTAAAAGATATTCACTTTTTGAGTTTCAAATCTTTGGGGTTATCTTTCACCGTTGTGCTGTTTGCAAGTCTATTATTTGTCTCGAAACAAGCGTCAGTCTGTAAATCATCATCATCATCAATGCATTAAAGATACAGTTTATATTCATCTGTTTTTCAAAGACACTGAGGAACCTTGCTAACAAACCTTCAATTCTACACACACTCAGACCAGAAAAGAAGAGACACACTAGTTTTAAAAACGAGAGTGAGAAGAAAGTGGAACTACATGGGCTATCTAATCTGAACCAAACTAATTTTTCTACAGGAACATTAGAGGAAAACTATTTCAACAAAGATTGCTGAGCTGAACAAGACAACAGTCTGATACAAATGAACTAAATTAATGCATTTCCTCCACCCGACTGCTAAATTCTGACTACTTGATTTTATGAGAAAGATACATTATGATTTCGCACCATGAGTTTCTCAGGTTTTAGGGGCGACTGTTTATTCCAGGGGTTAAAGAATACCCTCGCTCACTTATCCGCTTTCCCTGAGTAAAATAATGAAATTTCCCTGAATTTTCCTTGTAACTACCATGCATAAAGATCGATATTAGCCTCTTATTTTAAAACTTCAAATGGACCTCAAAACTTTCAAATATCATTGTGAAGTTGAAGTTTCTATGTTCCGCTAGTGGTGAAAACTTGCAAGATGAAGAATAATTGAACAATAGGAACCCATCTCGCACATTCTTATACATTCACATTTCTCTCCAGGTTTTTGATACCTGGAGACCATCATTTTCTACCATCTTCAGAGAGAAATACTTCTCACCTCATAGCCGCTGCTTGGAGCAACAAACATACTGAGACCATTTTAGGCCCTTCTTCAGAACCCCTTTTCAATTACAGAACACTCGGCCGTCAAGTTTCATGAAGTAAGACAAATTGTGTATCTCTACTTTATGTTCGTGCGTTAGACATGCTAGGATTTGAACACAAGAGTGGGGTTTGTGGGTAAGATGGAATAAAACGTATACAGACTTAAAAAAAATATCAGAAATGTTTTAAAAGGCATTAAACGGAAAATAGGAAGAAAAAGTAAATTCATCTGAGAAATATATCAGGGGCTCATTCAGTTTCTTGCTAAATACTGCAATAATACTTTAGGAAGTATTCATCTTATGTTTGAAAATAAAGAAATCTTGCGCATCAACTCAAGTATCCAGATACGTGATCTAGGAATTTAATTTCAAACTTGAGATAATGTGCCCACTACTTCTGGATTGAAATATGATTGGAAAAAAGCCTTACACGGTGGAGGCCCCAACGCAACTGGAGGGAAGAGTTGATCCACTTTTGCTGGAGCAGTGGATCATTATGCTGTAAACATACTTTTCCTGCAGACGATTTGATGTATGAGGAAGCTTTTTTAACTTTGAAAACCCCGGTTGAAAATTAATGAAATAAGATAAAAATATAGTCAGGCAATAAATCATAAAAAAAAGCTTGAATCCTGGACCTTTTATTTGTATTCATACTTCAGATCCCGAATTAGTTGAGTGGAACAATAAGCACTCAGTTCCAAAAAGAAAATGAGAGGGGAAAAATAAGATGTTGAGTTAAAATATGCTAAATATTGGGCTAAATATGTGATGAGTCACTTGGAAAAATGTGTAAATGTAGAGCTTAATTTTGGAAGCTCAAAGGTTATGCTTGGTAAGTTGATAGCTAATCATATCAAATTGAAACCAGCCAGAGTCTTCGACCCCTGTCAATTAAAAGTTTTTTTTATAAAAAAAAAAAAATCACCCAACTCGAACGAAATCGAAAGCCAGCCTGTTTCTTTGACTTATTATTTCTAAATGTCGTTTTCAAATACTTCCCTGGAGCATGTTCTGGTTGCAGTGAAGATGTTTTAACTTGCGAGCTGAGCTTTGTCTCCAAAGGAAAATTTGTTCGGAGAATCCATCAAACACTACAAAAATAGACGAGATTAATACCATGCGACATCAGTAAAGCCTCTTGTACCTAACGGAGCAAAATAATCTATCTCATCCTGACTCCGACGATGGGAATTAAGGTCTCAGTGAAGAAGAAAGTAAAATGAAAAATAATAAATGAAAATAAAAAGAAAATAGTGCGCAGGTACGAAATCAACTAAATACAATTGTCTATATCTATACCTACTAATAGATAAAAGTTCTTGGCAAAGCTCACACCATGCTCCAAAAAACGATAATAAGCTTGAGTCAATGCACAAAAAAATGTCTATCAAATGAGTTTTAAGTATGCTGTTCTATATCTGTCGTACTATTTGCTTCATGTAAAACTATCCTTGGTTTAAGGAAGTGTGTCCTTGGTTCTTGGTAGCATGAACTAAGGATATGGGTCCTAGAACCGAGAGGACAGTTAAATGAACCAAATAATACAGCTGATAAAATAAACTGCACATTCGATTTGTAAGAACAAACTTATATTCTTAGTTTCTGAACTCGAACTGTGCTATGTCTTACAGGATGCACTAGTTTATGCAAGTCCAAGACAAAACCCCCCCCAGTCAAAGACGAGGCATTTGCTATTGGAGCTAAGAATGATAACGTTTCACAAAAGTTAGAAAAAATAAAAGAACATGTAACATGCTTTGTCTAATATCCATAGATGCAGGTCAACCCTAAGATTAAGAGCAGAACTCATCGAAATCTCTTGATTTCTTCAGTCTGTTATGTCAGAAGTTTCCCTGATTTTATTACAGCACCATCAACTCTCAGGATTTGATAGCATTGACTAAAAGGGAGGGCGCAAAAGTAGAGCAGTCGCAAATAGAAATTGGCTCTTAAGAATTGAGTCTTGACCTCAATAGTATATTTGACAAATAGACCAATTGAGAACTTGAAGGTTTACACAGCTCGTAAGCCCATCAGAGTCAATTCAGCTTGCTGATTCATTTCACTTTTTTTTCCCCCCGAGACAAGAGATGAAGCTTACAAATCTTCAGATGTAAATAGCTGTTAAAAATATATTGAAATTGAGGTTTCCTGATTTTATAAATTATCAATTTGGATTTCATCATCCAAATTTGCAAGCATTTTTGAACTTGCTTATAGAAAATGGATGCACGCGGAAATGATGCTGTTTCAGAACTTTTCTTATAGTTAAAAAAAGTGAAGACTCCTTATTTGCATTATGCATACATCGATGCGAAAAGTTTTAAACGTTCCTGAGAAATTAAGTCATAGGTGCACAAGAAATCTTCATTTTTGACTGCTTCCAACATTCATAAACCCATAAAATTAATTTCACAAAATGCAGTAAGACAACTAAACAGAAGGACCCATGTTTCGCATGTTTCCTTTCACTACTGAACACTCGGGTGATTTTTAAAAACTATCCTATGCTCCCGCAGTTAGTACAAGGTAAGTCGTTCTGGAAATGCAAAAGATTTGATTCAACAATGCAACATTGATCAGGAGATATAATTATTTTCTTGCAGCAAATCATTCAATATCACTCGCTTTAGAGCCAAACAACATGACAGTCTGGCAAGAATAATAAAGCCCTCTAAATAAACTGAGCTCGGTTTTTTTTAAATGAAGGTCAGGACAAGGTGAAAATCTCAAATATTACACAGTGACAGATTAACATAATATACAGCTGATGGTAACAACCAAAACGATGATTATGCAGGTACTGCACTGCACAAAATGATAATAGAAGAAAAATTAAAAGTCATGGGTACAAGGATTTGGAATGATATTACGGGTCCGAGAAAAATGCCTGGGACCCTATCAGCAAATTATCTCAACCCTCAACGGACCTTTCACTTTGGTACAGACTTTTATAACAAGAACGTACTTTGGCTTACCAAAACACAATAGCTGAATAAATAATAATAGGCAGTAAACGCCTATAGTATGAATAGACACGACTGACTAGATGAATTAAAAAAAGAATGCCCAACAAAAACGTCCCAATAAGTGAAATGATAATGCGTTAGCGATCCAATTTCCATTCAAAGGCATATTTTCCTTATTACTTGCGCCAATATGTTAGGATTCATTTTTTTCATTTTTTTTGATGTGATGGGAAACGAACCAGTTAAATAAAAGGTGGGCAGAAATGCAAAATAGAATAAAAAAATCATAGATAATTTAAAGTCTAGAATAATCGCAAAAACGGAAAGAAAATTTGAAAAAATCTGATAAAATAAACATCCATGCCTTCTTGCTGCAGATAATTTACAGTTTTGCAGCTATTTTTCACCTTGATTATTGTTTAGTTTTGCAATTTTCAAATTTTTCCAGAACGAATCAAAGGTCAAAGGACCAGAAAGGTCAAAGGATCAACATAGAGAAGGTAAACTCAACACCTTCCTTGTAAAAGAAAACATGAAAAAATTGGTGATTTTCAGAATAACTTAGCTTGAAGAAGCAGAGGTGCTTAAGATTCCAGGCGCTTCTCTCCTATCCTGAAATCTCATTCTACAAAGTGCCAACCACATATGAAAAAACCGTTTGAAGAGTATTGAACGACTAAGACACGAAACTGATTAAGCTGGAAGGCATATCATATAGAAGTTTGCAGGCATACTGAGAGAAAAAGTGAATTGAGAGAAGAAAAAAAATTGAATCATTTCACCTTCATAATATCGACTCCGGTTAAATGCTTCACCATCTCCGGGACTTTGGCAACAATGGTGAGTACTTCTCCTGTTAATTTGGCAGCTCCAACTTCTCCATTACCACTGGAGACCATTGTTACCTTCTTAGCTTGAGAAAGGGGAGCGGCAACTTCCGCGGCCACCTGAAAGAAATGAGAGGAGTAAATAACTTGGGAATAATTTTTTGGAGTTCACATAAGCTACCTAATTTTGGTCATGGAGAATTTGCAAGAATTTCTTTTCTTTTTTTTTCTAATTATTTTTCCATCTTAGGAGACTTAACAGGTTGTCTAGTTTTTTTTCATTTTGGGAAATCCTGATTTTTCTTGATTTTCTACTGCTAAATACTGATTTCAAAATTTTTCCGAATCCCAATCAAATCCTGATTTTTTGTGGAGAAAAATTGACGGACGGATAACGGATATAATTAATGGAAAATGAGCAGACGACTAACTTTGCTCAAATCCTGATTTTACAACCGATTTTCCTTCAAATCCTGATGAAATCGGGATTAAATCCTGATTGACCTCAAATCCAGATAGAATCGGGAAAATCCTGATACTAGACACCCTGCTTAATAAGTCAAGTTGGCAGTAAGTATTTTTTCATTATTTTCTACATGGGAAAGTGGAGAAAAATAGATTTAAATGTGAGAAAATATGCCGCCTTATGAAATCATCAGAAGGCATTTCCCATTTAAACACATGTATTTTAGTTGAGTAGATTCCAAACAGAGTAGCCGGCTTGACAGTGAACAAATTGAGAAATTGAAATCTGCTTCCTGACAAAGGAAATACCTAAATTCAATGGAAAGGAACAAAAACAGAGAAAATTTCAGCTCCCGTCGAAGAAAGACATGTTTTCCAAATCCAGGGTGTCTACTAAATTAGGCTAGCCAAAAATCAGTATTTTTACAGTACTTTTTCGGTACATTCCCAAAATTTTCAGTACCTCCTCAACAGCGAAAATTCAGTGCTTTTTCAGTACCTCCAATTGACGAAATTCGAAAAATTTCGAAAATGTGAATTTCTCGCTCTAATTGCAACAAAATTGACAACAAATTAAACAAAATTCCAAACCACATTGTGGAATTTCCGCACTTTTTCAGTGCTTCCGGACCGCCCTTAAAATATCTGCACTATTTCTGGACTTTTCGAACTTAAGGACACCCTGAAATCACTAATTCAGCAAGTTGGCAAGACACTAAAATCATTGCTTTGCAAAAAAAAGTAAAAAAAAGTAATACATACCTTGGGTAAGGCCTCGAGAATCATGTCAACCATGGCTGCTTCCCGGTATTCTTTCCAGGCTTCTGCTTTTTTCATCATTTGTTCCGCTTCAGCTTTCGCTCTGGCTTCGATGGCATACGCCTCTGACTCTCCTCGTATCCTTATACTTTCTGCCTCTGCCTCAGCTTCTAGGATAACACGGTGACGATTGGCTTCAGCTAACTTTTCAAGGCTGGAACATAATTGAGACACATGCTAATACCAAAATGAATTGTTCATAATAATTATTTAAGGGGATTCAAACTGCTGCTAATTAGATAAATTATACAACAACAAGAAACTACAGGAATCGAGAGTGGTGCACAACCACAACACCAGAAACAGAACAGAAAGCCTAATCATAAAAATTAATAAAACAGCGGCTCGAGGCCATAACTTCTTCTCTAAACTACCATCAAACATAAGGAAAAAAATTAAAGATGAGCCCCGAAGCCACAATGCCCTGGTCAGACATTATCTAATTGAGGAATGTCCATATTCAATCAACGATTTTTTAAAGGGGACAGGTTGATATCATTGTCTTTTTTTTTTTTTTTTCTTTTTTTTATATATACATATATTTATTCTTGTTTCTTGTTTAGAAAAATTCGACGCATTTGTAGAAGCCATGTGCAAGCCAAAAACAAATAAAGATATATTATTATTATTATTATTAGCAAGAGAAAAACGCTTAAAGCTTTGGTTCTGATCCAAAACAACAGAGCAGCATTGCCACAGAGTTTAGAAAATGAAATTCTCTGATTTCCTGGACACATGTTGATCAAATTCTCTGACAATTGAAGATATGCAAGAATAAAAATAACATAATTTGAATTAGTTTTCAGGCAAGCTTAGGAGGTTGAAATGTCAAACCTATTCTAAAAGCATATAAAGGTGACCTAACAATTTTTCTCTGACACTTTCGTCAGTTTCCCAGACATTTCCAGGTTTTCTCTGACTTTTTGGTATTCCCTGACAATGCTCGACTATCCTGGACTATGGTAACCCTGGCAGAAGCAAGTCTCTCTCACCAGTTTATGACGTAGGGTTGAAAATGGTAAGATTTCTTTCCTGATGACTACTAGGTAAGTCCAATGCACTAAACAATCACTTTCCCAATGCAAACCCAATTACAGGACAATTTTTAAGGTCAGGACTTCCATGATTCGGAGCTCTGTCATGTGATTGACATTTACTATTTAGATGCTTGGAAAATCAATTCAAATTGACTTAATGTATCCTTTGAACGGTGAACTTGAACTTTTGAAACGGTTGACAGGGGAGATAGATATAATTAAAAAAATATGCAATGAACTTTTAATTAGAAGGGATGAACCCAGTTGTCAAACTTGAAAAATTACGTTATAATGTGACTCTTAACTGACTCTAAAAGATTACATGAGTGAATTAGGACAGGGTTTCTAAAAGAATTCCACTTTGGATTTTTCTGATATTTTTAGACATTTCCTGATCTCTTGCATGAATAAATTGACACTCATCTGATTTTAAAAGCCAGCATATTCAATGAATCGAATCAAATGTTCCACATTAGCATATGCTCAACTGCATGTAGTTGAAAAATTATTGATGCTTTTGGAATTTTCAGATCCATCACCAGTTTTCCTCCAGTTTTCCTGATTTTGCCCTGATAACATCAAATTTCCTGATATTTTCCAGTTTTTACTGACGGTAGGCACCATATAAGAGTGTTTAAAGTTCGACAATAGGGTTTACCCTTTCTTGTTTAAAGAAAGTTGGTCAAATGATGATTTGGAAGGTCTCTCCTACAACTATGGATTCATACCGGTATTTTTCCGCTTCAGCAGGCCTTCGAATGGTTGCTTCGAGTTCCCTCTCTTTCCTCTGAATTTCTTGGTCCTGAACTGCTATCTCTTGCGTTCGCTCTACTACACTAATCTGCATTTGTTCTTCTTTGATCCTTTGTTTTGTTTTCGCAGCTTGCAGTTCATACGCCAGTTCAGCCTCAGCTTTCTGCAAGAAATTAGAATGGGATAACAAACGATGGAGCACATGGACATTGAGAGGATCGATGACTCAAAATTTGTATTGTGATTTGTAATCTGACTTTCATAAACAGGATGACAAGTTTCCTTAAATTTAATAAGTTTCTCTTTCTTCAAGTTTGCAAACAAAACATTTCTTTATGTTTTCCTGACATCTCAGCGATAAAACATATTTTGTTGAATAGAACAAGTAGAAAATTTAAACTCTGACATAGTAGACATGAGAGTCATTGAGGCTATGTAAAAATTTGAACACAAAAAAATTCAAGGTTTGATAAAATTGTACTATTTTTCCAAGGTTAATAATCAATGTTTTGACAAACCTCTTCTCCACAAATAACCTTGTTACGTCAAGATGAGCAGCCACATGCTCTAAATGGCCATTATAGCATAATTTAATTAACATCACTTTTAGTACAGGACCCCAATAAAAATTAAGTGCTTATGAAATTTTTCAATAATTGGTCTGATCTTTGGCAATGCAATATTCTTCTTCCTCAATTAAAAGACACTTTTGTCGGAGAAGTATTCATTTCCGAATAAAATCTTTCAATTTTAGGAGGATATTCGACAGCGCTATTCTCCGTCTTTTTTCGCTGATACACACCACGAACAGCGCATGCACGTACTAGCGAGGATTCGCGAACTGCAGACGCCGCATCGTGGGGTCGAGAGAGTTCGGACAGAGCGTATGGAAATTTGTGGCTGAAGGGAGCTGTGGCTGAAGGGAGCTGTGGCTTTGCCTGCATCTTCGTCCCAATTTTATCGCCTCTCAAGGGTGATCTGTCCATTTCATCAAAAGGGAAAATCTGTGTTTTTCTTTTAATCACCTCTCACTGCCACGCCGCTAAATCTATAAATGAGCTGAATATTTCACTTTTGACACTTAAAATTCAAAGAAGCTGTAAATTCATCTTCAACCTCCTTTTCACAACTCTTCATCAGTCTCACAGCTTGAAATACAACTAATTTTAGCTACGTTTTCTTTTTTTGCAATCTTCATTTGACAAGAACATACCTTTGTTTGAACTTCGACATCATAGGCAGCTTTTTTGAGCTCAAAATCTCTCTGGGCTTTGGCAATTTCGGTATCATTCAGGAATCTGAAAAAAGCGAGACAAGAATTAATTAGAGAACAATAGGCCACATCTTCATTGAGATTGGTGTTTCGTCATTCAAGTAGGCAGAAGTGAGGTGAAATGCACAATATATTTCTCTTTTATTTCCCTTATGGTCCTTTTCAGCCAAGAATTAACATGATTATTGAGCGGCTTAGAAAAGTGCCTGATTGAATTTTGGTATCACGAGTAATGGATAGAAACCAAGGTGTTGTGGAATATTTCTTAAAGTCACTATCAATTAATTAAAATTAAAATAAGTAATTATAGAAATATTCCACAACACCTTGGTTTCAATTCATTGCTCAAAATACAAAATGGAAACAACAAATGGTGTCGTGCCATTGGAACTCAAGGAACAATTTTAGTACTTCAATTCTATCTTATGTCTTCTTATAAAAGTAGATTGTGAAATTCATGGGACCTCTCTATCCATCATATTGGCTGGTATTCTGCACCAACATTAAAATGTAAAGGAAAAAAAATGAATTGAACTGAATGAAAAATTGAAACTTCACACAAAAATGAGCAACTTTTCAAGCAAGCCATTCTAATTTATTCTCTAAAATATAAACTGCAAAAAATTAAGAGTTAAGAGGTGAACAGAAAAAAAAATTAGTGGGTCTAGCTTCATGAACACTTCAGAAACTTTATCGTCACTTCCTCAACTGTTATGTATTCTGACAAAAATTATAAAGGATTGTGAGTATATGGATTGATTTTCAGGCATGATTTAGCCTTAATTCCAAGAAAAAAACAACATTTCTAGACACAAATGGAAGATAAGGCTTTAACTCCAGAATAATTGAGGGGGATAGTCAGATTCAATACATACCCCGATGCATCAGTCAGTGGAATTAATTTCCACATTAAAGTCTTGAGTGAAAATGCTGAATGAATGAATGAATGAATGAATGGATGAAAAAAAAGAACAGACGCAAAAATTCACAAGGAAAGATAAGCAGGCAGAAACATCAGGAAAAAGTGAGACTTTGGACAGTCACTTGGGATGCACTTGGGATGATTTTGGACCAGTTTGTCTCATTCACACCGCCAAAAAGCAACTAAAATGGGTCAATTTGAGCACTGTTTGGCCAGTGATCGCTTTTCCGCCCCAGTCCAGTTCTACAATTCCTCTCTTTGAAGGAGAAAATAAACTATTTTAATTAGCACCTGATAGACTCGTTTTTTCATCGAACATGATGAAAAGATGCCTTAAGACATTGTGAAAATGGAACCAAAGGGTCCAATTTGTATACATACTATAGGTTTTTTTCACTTAGAAGAGAAAAATGGTTTAGGGCTGACTTACCGAGAGGCCATCCTTTCTTCTTCAGCTATAGCTTCTTTGATTTGAGAATCTTTTCTGGCTTCAGCTTCACCAATTCTGGCATCTCTTTTGACTTCAGCTGTTCTTGCCATCCCTAAACTTTTCAAGTACCCCTTGAAATAAAAAAGAGAGGAAAGATATAATGTTTGAAACATAAAGAAATGATCATGAATTGTTTCCTCAGGCATATGCATTAATGGTGGCAGAGACCGTTATACACAAAATTGCACTTGTTGATATCATCCACCACTGTTCACAAAATATCTCTCAATTTTTTACGCAAACATTTGGCACCGGAATCATCAACTCTACCAAGAATGAATAATCAAAAGATGACTTTAAGACAAGATTATAATGATTTTTCATATGTTTAAGGTGATTCGATGGACGCCATATTTTGTGTCAGAACAGCATGCGATATATCGCATCCATTGGTTCCATTTTTTCAGCTACTCGTAATTTTTCTCGAATTTTGAGATCGCAGTTCAGTTGTCAGGAGACTAAAGCACTCACCAATTTTAACAAAGAAATTCAATGTAACTAAGGCGTGGTTTTTTTAGAGAGAAAATATCTCATTCGAGTGCAGTTTCGATATCAGTATCGAATGCAATGTTTTCTCTCTAAAAAAAACCACGCCTTTATTACGTTGAATTTCTATGTTAAGATTGGTAAGTGAGTGCTTTAGTCTCCTGACAACAGAACTGCGATCTCAAAATTCGAGAAAAATTACAAGTAGCTGAAAAAAAATGGAACCAACAGATGCGATATATCGCATGACGTTCTGACACAAAATATGGCGTCCATCGAATCACCTTAACTGAAATTTTTCAAACATTGAAAATAGAGTTACTATTCTTTTAAGCCCCTCTCTGAAATTTGGGGGTACTTTCCCATCTTAAGAATGCATAATTTACGGATGGATGGATGGAAACAGGAGGTGACCAAAATGTAAAAAAATGAAAGAAAGAGATGAAGCATGGCACCACAGCATTTGGAGTATCAGTGAGTCACTCCATTACAGCAAGGTCTCATTTCCCCTCATACAAGTCAGATGGCAGTCTGGGGGGAAGAGGAGAAACATTGCCCATCCTATCTTATCTTATAAACTGTGGAGCAAGAGATGAGTAGGCAGAAAGGAAACTTCTGAGCAAGACAGCCTGGTGAAATTACTGTGGAGAATGTATTCCAGTCATAATTTTTGCTAATGCCTACAACTTCTATTCAGAGGTTCATATCATGAAAATATGGACTATTGGGTTATTTTCAATACTGAAAGTCATTCACAGAGACACAAAATATTGATTGGTTTCACAAGTTAAAGAAAGATGAACACTTCAGATTAACTTAAAAACGGACAATTTTTCACCTCCCCCCCTTCTAGTTTTCTATAACATTTCAATGACTCCCATTCACTTTGAACTGAGGAGGTGTATTGCACTGAATTTAACTTTCCAATCTATAGTGCCAATAACTCTATTTTGAATTTTAAAGGCCAAAAATACTGCTTCCATGAGTGATCAAAAATACTTGACAAAAAAAGTATTAACTTACATCTTCATCCCTGATGTCCTTCAAAGTATAAGAGACGACAGTTATTCCCATGTTGACTAAATCTGATGAGGCAACTTCAAAGACTTGTTTGCTAAATTTTTTCCTGTCTTTGTAGAGCTCCTGGAAAAAAAATAAAAAGAATATTAGATGAGACGCAGTAGAGAATCTGGGCAAAAGACTGAGAAGATCATGAATAGAGCAGCCGGTTTTTCACTTCTTCCTTTGTCAGCAAACTGGAGCGACACCTGACAAGATCAGGGACGGATCCGCTCTTTGGTGCACTGATGAGAATAATCATAATAAACATGCGAACTTTTTTACTACAAATATTTATTCTATCTATCAGATTAATTGCTAGTCTTTTTGGTACAATTCCCTGACTTGATGAATTTCCCTAATGATTCCCGGTTCTCAAGACCTGTAAACCCCCTGCTTGAGGAATTATACAGCCAGCAAATCATACTTTAAGCAGATATAAATTCTTCAGGAGCCAGGAATTTTCATTGTTATACAACAGAGAGCAAGGCAGAACTTGTATTACAGGCACCAAATTTGATTACCGCCTTTTTTTGGAGGCAGATTGTATGGAAAGCTAAATGAGGTTTCTTGTTTGTTTGATAGATTAATTTCTTGATGTAAGGGTATTAGATGAACATAAGGATGTCATGACAGTCAAAGTCATCAACTTTGCTAATTTGAGCAAGAGAGAGACACTAGTGCTAACAAAATTAAAGATAACTGGGCTCTGAAAGGTCAGACAGACAATATAAGGAAACCATAAGCTAAAAGGTTTCTTTTTTATAAAACTAAGGAATAACCAAGGCTTTTTAGTTAACCCCATATATTCCTTATTTAATTTGATAACACCAATTGCTTAAGATTAACAATTGATACTAACTGGAGCTACAGCCATGACAACCCCCCCCCCCCCCCCNAAGAGAGCGGGGCGAAAAGCCGCAACGACTTTCATCAACCTCTCAATTACCTTGGTTAGTTTCAAAACTAGGTCTTCCAATGCTTTGACAGGCTTATCAGATTGAATACTTTGATGAATAGGAGGTGATCGAATGATAGCAGGCTGAGGAAGCAGCTGCTTTTTTTTTGGCTGGAGCTCAAACACTGAACTCCCTTTTTATGAACTTACTGTTAGAAGCCTTTGATATTTCACTTGGCCTTGACATCCAAAAGCCAATTACAGATGGAGAAAAAAAAGCCTTGGTATTCACATAACATCAAAAAAATCAGACAGATCTATTGGAGGAAAATGATAGGATTTTACCTCAACTGTCATAGTGCCCATGATCGCTCGCTGATGACCTTCCAAGGTCAACAGGGCTATGTGCTGAATTTCCTTTTCTGTTTTACCGAGAAACTGTTCGCAGGCTGTAAGAAGCAATTCTTCATTTTGGCCTTGAATTTTCACCTGAAAGAGAAAACAACTTGTTGAAATAGATAACAGCTCTGCCAACAGTAAACAAAATTTCAATATTTAAATCATTTAAAAATCCATGCAGCTTAATATGCAAACTATTAAATTGAAGGGAATTCAAGATAAAGGTAATAGGGAAAGAAAAAAAGAACACTGCGAGGGACGTTTTCATACACCTTCATCTGACGAGGTTGCAGACAGAACTGAACTAGAAAAAGAGATCCAAGGAGGGAACAGAAAAAACGAAGCTTAAAAACAGCTGACGCTTGACAATGCTTCGCCAACATGCCCCCTCAAAAATTAACCACTTGTTAATTTTTGACATCTAAACACCAAGCACCAACACGCCCGTTGGAGATATGCAATAATTAATCTGACAACGCACCACAGGGACCATCCCTAATGCACTTGTGCCCATGTTGGCACTTGGCACTTAGATGTCAAAAATTAACAAGTGGTTAATTTTTGAGGGGGCGTGTTGGCACAACATCGTTAAGCGTTAGCTGTTTTAAAGCTTTGTTTTTTCAGTTCCCTCTTTGGATCTCTTTTTCTGGTACAGTTCTGTCTGCAACCTTGTAAGATAAAGGTGTATGAGATAAAGGGCACATTTAGCAGACAAACTTGTGGACTGGGAGTAGACTTCAGGTTTTTTCTATGAAAACATTTCCTAGAGCAGACCAAGACTTGGCATTTTCTTGCTGAAGACTGAAAATGCAATTTCGGTGTTCATTGCACGTTGAGTAGAAAAAGTGCACAACCTTCAGAATCATGACTGTAAGCTCTCTGACAGTTCAAATTTTATTTACTTTTCAGAGTGATCATTGTGGAAATGAATGTGGCCAATTCGCATACATTTTAAACCATGGTCAGGAAATGAATTGTATGATTCTTCTCATTTTTTAATCAAGCGCCAGGTTTTACATTCCACGAAAATGGCTCTTTACATTCGTCCACAGGTGGGCCACATAGCAGCCAAAAGACATCTGCCGTCTAATCTGACTTCAGTTTTACAGATTGTTGGACCACAGCAATTTTCAGAACTTTGACGGAAGAGGTATGACACATTTACACACAAGCTTATTCTTTCGATGACTTCGATTCCTCCACAGCAAATAATGACTGGTTGGAACACCTGGTAGGGACAACCACACCTGACGTATGATGTCTTGAACATTTTTTCTACTGAGAATGCCTTCATCAAAATAAGTAATTTGACAATTCACTAAGTCCACTTTCCATTTCCTATTTTAAACAAATTTAAAATCTTACCAGGTGATAATGAATGAAATTTTGCCGCAGTTTTTTCCTCAGTTCCACCTGCATTGTCAGTTAAAATGGCAAATAAATAATAATTGCTACAGCTTCATGGTTTAAGATTTCTCTGTTTCCGTGGTACTTGAAAATTTTAGATTTTTAATATCTTGCAATACTTAATTTCAAACTACTTGGATCAATGATCAAGAGACCAACCATAATAAATATATCTCTGAAACAAAATCTAGAATTCGGAGCATCTGTTCTCAGTATTTAAAGGTACAGCAGCTCCTTCAACTCTTGCAGATTTTGTAATGAAAATTTTGAAGAAAAAAAAAGAAAAGAAAAAAAAACAGCTGAGTAAAAACAAGATAAATTACGGACCTGCGCAACACCTGTAACAGAGATAGGTACTCCTTGACTAGTATAAACGGTAGGACTTTCAACTTGGAGAGTCATAGTATTTAAGGATATTCTGAAACAAAACAACAGTAATAGCAATCATCACTTCTGATCATCTTTAGGTAAAAGAAATAACATGAATTTAATTAAGATGTTTAAAAAAAAAAAAAAAAAAAAAAAAAAAGTGTACTTGTAGAGAAGGTTCCATTGGTTTAATAGGAACAGCGGACAGCATGAATAATAATTTTTCAATTTTCTTCCGTTCCGTCTGTACAATCAGAAGGTCCCAGGTTTGACTGCGGCCAGGCAACTTAAAGTTGCTGATCTCAGATAATGACTGCCTGGGACTGGTTGTTGAACAGAGACTAAGGGCCAATTTTATCTCTCAGTGTCAGGACGGCGCTAACTCCGGTGTCAGGTAACACCCGTTTTAGCTTGACACGGCCACTAACACCAAGACCGATTTTAACTCCCCGAATTCTGCCTGTGTCACAGGACACGCTCTCGCTATAGACCTTCCTGCATAAATTCGAGGTTTCGTTGGAAAATTGTGTCTGTTCACATCGTTTCTGCTGGGTTTGTTGAGGTCTGAGGTTAGTTCGTGTCATTATCAACCGTGTTTACTATTGTTGGGTTTGAGGTTAATCACATGTACTTCCTTATGTTCTGCTTGGGCGTGATGTTAGTTTAGCGTAGTTTCTTATTTTCCTTGAAACCTTTCAATCTAAGAGGAAAATGTTGTGGACCTTTTGTAAAGACTGTAAAATTTTCTATCGGTTCATTTAAAAAAAATTACAAAACAAAAAAAATCTTGTGACAAAAAAGATGGGTTTAAAAAAAAGCCACGGCTAAAATTCTCATGATCAGCGACCATTTTCCTCATTTTCCTTTAAACCTTTCAATATTAGAGGAGAATGTTATAGGACCTTTTGTAAAGTACAAATTCCTATCAGCTCATCACAAAACAATTCCAAAAATCTTTAAATCTTCACTCTGAAACTTTGGTGGAACACGTTCAGATAAGACTTGTCTAGCATTGAGCAGAGCCGCGATGCAATTCTTTGTCGTGAACCCACCCGGGGTCAGCTAAACACCGGTGTCAAAGCCTGGAACACAGCTCCCAAGGCGTGTCAGCCAAACACCGACGCGCACCCCCAAACACGGGTTTGACACGCAGCTAAAATCGACATAAAATCGAGGTTTGAGCCAACACCGGTGTCAGACGCTGATACGCCTCTGACACCGTCTTGACACGGGGAGATAAAATCGGCCCTAAGAGAGATGAGAAAATAACTTAAAGCGCAGGATTACCTCCACAGGATTATTTGAAGAGTACAAAAAAATGCAATTTTGTCTCAACAGATTGACCGAGATAATCTAGGGTCGCATAGGAAACACCAGCAGATCGAACCTTCATTCAAAGCGAATCTCATACAAAATGAACAGAAACAGGATTTTAATGATAGAGCCTGTATGAAGGAGAAAATTTGGTTTCATCAGTTTATTACCCTCACAGCGTTCAACCACTCTTTACTTTAATTCACTCTCGCTGATGTGATTAAACAACAATACCTATCCTTTTGAAAAATCTAAATAGTGAGCTGTTCATTTCTGCCTGCCAAAATAAAACACAATCCATGGTTCTAAAAAACCACTTAAACATCTCATATAAAATATTGCGAGAGTATTAGCGAAAGGACAGCAGCTTCATTTTTCTCTTATGTAACTAGGGTGCTTCAAACACAGACATTCTCAAATAGGCCAGTACTTTACATCGGCACCAGAAATAAGATTATTATGAGAAGGAAGAATACCTTTGAACACAATGAACGGTAGGCCATACAAATGCTCGGCCACCAGCAACTAAATGTGGCTTCTTGTAGCAGCATCCTGAAAGAAAACATCAAAAATGGTCATTTACGCAGACAGACGAGAAAAAATTCTCTTGTAAGGTACTACTGAGAGTCAAAGTCTACTGTTCGAAAGTCAAGATACCATACCATCGACACCAAATAAGTGGGGCACTTTCAGAGTGTGGCTGACATGATATGATAACTTCAGACATTAGACCTTGTCAAAGTGCAGTAGGGTCTCAACGACAACTACAAGAATAACTGAACAATGTATATTGGTTTTGATCACTTCCAATCGTGCATGGGGTAGGAAAATGATAGAAAGATTGCGGTTGTGCGGCCATTCATAAAATCGTTGAGTTTAGGCCAACTAAGATTATGCACGTTAGAACTGCAACTGCAGAACAACCATCTTGATTCTTGTGTTTACTTTCTGTACAAAAGTGACGGCAGACAATCTCCAGTCGCAGTTAGAAAGTGTGTACGCTAGTTGGCGCAGAATCACGCATGAAATCAAATTCCTTTTTATTAGACTTAACACTTCTTAGAGGTTTGCGAGAGAACACCTCTTGAGAAAGAGCAGTAGTTGTTCACCAATTGAGTATAGGCCATTACCATGCATGGTGATACATGCTTCTTCCAGACCAAAAAAACCAAAGCTTGAATTGAGAACTGTTGATTTGAAAACTATCATATTCTGGAAAACATGAGAGCATGGGATGAACAGGCCCTTTGACTATGAACGGACTCTTCATTTGAGAAACCCTTGGACCTCATGGCACCGTTGGCTAGCAAAATTCTACGCAGGACCATTCTTGGAGTACATGTGTGAAGTAATAGAGCTTTCAGTAGAATGCAATAATAAAGCCTGGCATAAAGTGTCACATCCTTAGTGAAGGAATCTTATGACTATCATGTCAGAGAAACAAGGCATGCTAGAAATTGATTAATTAAACTAGAGCTTACAGAAAAGATGATGAAAGTCTTGAGAGATGATCAGGGCTTGTTACAAAAGACATCTTCTAGCAAATAAATGTCAGAGGATAGAGTTAACGAGACTTATTTCAGAATAATCGCGGGGCTAAATGCGTGATGCTACAAATCTAATCTCCACGGAGCGTCCACAGACAGGTCGAAACCTGCAGGAACCACGAGATAACACCAAACAAGTCCGTTTCGGAGGAGTGGGGAGAAAAAGGCGAGACAGAGACAGTTAGGAAAGCTCATCAAGATAAGAGTCATTGCATACATACCTGAGATAACTAAGGCTTCGTTTGGGCCGCACGTTACAAAGCCCCAAGTCATAATTGCGAAAGGGAAAGGACTGAATCCCTTCAACTGGCCATAAACCAACCGAAACGGCGAATCGGCTCTTCAACTGAATAATGCAGCGTTCGATCCAAAGCTAAAAGCTTACCGTCGTCACAGCCGGCCTTTTGGTAAATTCGTGATCGAAGACATTCCCGTGCAGGCACTTCAGGCAACGAAAGAGGAAAACATGAAAGTTCAAAGCACAAAGCACTGTCCATAAAATGAGCGGCAAACGGGAAAGACGATGTCACAAACTCCCAATCACAAATGGATGCGGGTGGGGTGGAGAGTCCCATCAAAGTCTCCGAATGTTGGAAGGGGAGTGAGTAGAAGGGGAAAGGGGGAAAGTTGCAGGGTCCTTATCTCTCCTGCGCGCTGCGCCGCGACGCAATTCTCAAATAAGCGCACACGCGTGAAAATAATAGTTTAGCATTTGCTCACACGACAGCAAAAGCGCTGCGATCGTTTTTTGTTAACCTCAAACTTCTGCTTCCAATTGTTTTGATTAGAATCGGAATTTAAAGTTCAACACCTGTGTTCTAATTAATTCTGGCTGAAATTCATCTCACTCACTCGCTTTCGTAAATTTTATTAATATTTTGTGTAATTATGAACTATGAATTTTAATACTGCGATGTAGTACTTTTAGTATGTATCGTTGCTTAACTTATTCACCTCTTCTGGCACTCTTTTTGCCTTGTAGTCTCTGGCCAATTTTTGAATCTATTTATGGAAAAGCTGAACAGTAGAGACGTTTCTCCTCATCCAGCCACTCTCTAGTTGATTCTATTTCCAGCATTTAGCTGAAACCTACATGCACTCAGCTTTGGCTTTTGATAAAGTGTATATCTGTGTCGTGTCAGTTCGGAGGAAACCAGGGCATCCTATTTGATGAAACTAGCTGCTTCAATGACAATTCATTTGTAGTGCTTTGTGATCCAACTATGCTGTTTATTATTCTCATCTAGGAGAGATTTACAAGTGAATCTCCAGAATGCCTGCTTACACCAAAAGTCAGTGACCAATGTATTAAGAGGTGAGCTCTGTCAACCACATATGAAGGAATGAAATAAAGAAACTGAGTTAATGAATCCAACAAGATTCTGGTTCTTCAATCACACTTAATGAGTAATTTTTTTTTTTTTTTTTTTTCATGGAACAACATATTTTTTGGAAAATACTTGCTGTTGGCAAAAAAGTCAATGTTATCGACAATGGTGGAGGCTCAACTGAGCCTTTTCAAGATCAATGAAATGGGATCCTATAATTTGGACTGATTATCAAGATTTTAGGAGAAAAGTCGGATATGGTTGTGCGACAGAACTAAAAACTAAGCACATCCACCGAACAAATAAACTTCTGCATTCCCCATCCAGATTCATTATCTAAAATCAGAATTAGTACCTCTTAGGTATACAGTAAAGAAAGATGTAATTATTGCCTAGTTGGTTTTCTGCCAATGATTGTCTAAGATATACTTAGGTATACTTCTTGTTTCCAACTCAAAGGTGGTACTCTATTAGAAAAATACTTTTTTGGTAGAGATTGACTGTTTCTGAAGTAATTTTGTAACTATTGAATTTGGAAATATTTTCATGCATTCTTTGTCTGTTCTCAGTTTACTAATGAGTCTCTGACAGCTTTGCTGCTTCTCCTGAAAATGTCAGCCCTTCAGAGGTTCAAAAGTTTGCAGCATGAAATTGATAGGCTTCACCTATTATACTTGGAAACTGATGAAAGTCCAAGAAAAATCGAGCAGAGGAAAAAATTGGAAGGTTTGTTTATTCTTTTAATTCTGTAGAACTCGGAAAGCGTATATTTCTTCCCAACTTTAACCCATTTGCATGTCATTATAAATGCGCCTGCCACACAGAAATACAACTATGTTTTTCAATACAAATACTTCATTGCTACTTATGAAAAAAAATCACTAGGATTCATTCAGGTTAGCAACAGAATACTTCAGAATAATATTTTGAATAATGCCATTAGCGCCAGCTATCATAAAGTCAGAGAAACATGACAAAGACAATTGCTTAGCACTGCTGCGCAATGGCGCGATAACAGCGTGTTAACTCATCGATGCATACATGCCCCATGTGCGCCATGACAAGTATCCTAGTCAATACATGCGCATGGGTTAATAACTTAAATTTTCTGAAGTGAAAAATTGACAATAGCTAATGAAATTATTATACTGTTCAGTAAGTTTATGTATCCCTTAGAAGTGTCGTCAGAAAAGGTAGCATTTGTTTACTTCTGAACTGCAAGCGTATTCCCATCACTACTATCCACATCAAAACATCTGCCTCTTGCAGAAGGGAGAACAGAAGCTTGGATAGGATTTTTAATATTTTCAAACATTGTAACACTTTAATTTTTAGCCACAAGAAATCACAACCACTTAAAAGTCGCGGATCATAACTGAAAAGCAGATTTTTACAATACGATCATGAGACGGATGTTTTTAAGGTGGATAGTAGCGGATAACGCTTTGTTCAGAGGCGTAAATTTGTTGCCTGCGCCGAAAGTAAACAAATGTAAACTTCTCTGACGACACCTCTAACAACTCATCATTTTCTAGACAAGAGAAAGTATCTGGATAACAATTTTGCAAAATTTTCACTCGCCAATTTTACCTTTACTAGCAAACCATTTTTTTTTTTTTGCTTCAAATAGCCCTCAATAATTAATCTCATCTACTTTTAAGCAACTATTCCCACTTAATTTTATGTCTTTTGTATACTTGCAACAATCCCTATTTTACCACCAATTTCACAGCCAAACTCTGTCCAGCTATAGCATCTTAAGAAGATTTCATCCCTTCCATTGGACATTCCCAATTGAAAATTGCAATGCTTCTTCTTCTGTAGCATGCATAAATTAGACAAATTTTGGACAAGAATTAGATGGTTATATTTTTGTGGTAAATTGATTTTTTTTTAGTCAGTTTTGCAACCTTGGAGTGGAGTTACATTCTGCTGTACTGATAACGACAAACTATTCACTTAATCATTTTATGCTAGTTTTTATCATAATCATTTTTATTCTTCAACAATTGATATGTGTAATTACTTGTTGAAAGTTGAAAGGTTTTGTAAGGGATGCAGTGTGAAATAGTCGCCAGCAAGAAGATACCAAGAGTGAAAAGAAAAGTGGCTATTCTCACTACGTGAATTAGCAAAACCTTGAATTATTAACCATTTCAACCGAAACAAATTTTTAGCTCTGGTTGGCAACTGTCAATTACTCTTGATAGAATCGAGCATATCAAATGAGCAAGCATTTTTTAATTTCCATTTGTGTAGAATTTATTAGAATCGCTTAAAAATATTGAAATGAAGTTTGGTTTCAAATTAAGAAACCTCAGGTAGAGATGGGAAAAAATTCTCCATCTTGTCAGGCATGTGTGTTACCCCAAATCAAAGTTAATCACTTATTTTCTCTTCTTTCTCGCTCTAGTCATTTCAGAAAGGAATCATTGCCTCTGTCACTTCATTGTCATTCAATTTTCATGATCTGATAATTTTTTTCAGGGTATATCCGGGAGTACTTATATCTAGTGCCTCATGACCGGAAATTTTGTTTTGAGGAAACGAAGCATGTGTTGCGGCGAAGTGTGGAATGCAAAGAAAATTTTAGTGCATACAAAGCATCAAATGCATGGTCAGCTCTTGCTGTTTATGCTGAAAACTTGCTTGCACAACCTTGGCGAAAAGAGTTCCGTCAAGTGAAGGTTTGTCAAATAATCTTTCTCTGCACAATATTCGTAAATATCTTCAATGATCATATGATTCACAGTCTATGCTCATTAAATTAAAATTGATCATTCAGTTATAATGTTTTTGATTGTTTGATTTAAAAATGGGCATTAGCTTAATTTTGGATTCAAGTTTGCTTCTAGACCACCTGGTTTTCTCCTCACATTCTTTGGTCGCTGTGCGATGTTCATTTATTTCTTCCCAGAATCTTTGACTTGCGTCGCAACCTCTTAGATTGATAGGAAGAATAAAGGAATTTTCTAAGTAAGAAACAGAAATTGGAAGTTACAAAATATTTTTCTGAATCTCAGATATTTTGTCAGAATTAAATGCCTCTGTTACTTATAAACTCATTGTCAAATCATCCAAACTTTCTACGTTTGATGATTTCTATTTCCAGAGGATTCAAAACTGTTTCCAAGAAGTTTCATCTTGGAAGTCCATTTATATGACATCTCAAAATAAGATGATTCAAGTTGAGATGAACTTCATGAGACCATTCTGAATCATCTGGAGGTAGAAATCATTGAAGATAGGACATATAGATAATTTGACTCTAAATTTAGAAGTGACAAAGGCATCTCATTCTGACGTAATATTATAGATTCAGAATTTTTTTTGCTACTTACAATTCCCTTTCCTTATTTAGGCATCTCTTTTTCCTAATTCCTCATACTATTTGATTTATTACATAAATTAGTGTTTTAAGGCAGTGTCAAGCAATTTTCTTGAACCAAATAATAATTTTGAAATATGGGTGGCCAGTTTGAAAAGGACACATGTCCATCAAGGATTGTTAAAATTGTGCAAAGTTTCAATTCCTTTCATAGCGGATACTGAAAATACAGAGGTGTCATCATATGAATTTAAAATTGAGAAAAAAATACACGGTATAAACTTATCAAATCGAAATGGAGGAACTCAACTCATGAAGTGAATGAAGTAAAAGCTGGCACAATTTATTGGTGTCTGTCTCCTCCTAAAAGCAGGCCCGCCACAAGGGGGGGGATACTGGGTCCCTGGTACCGGGGCCCGGGCCCTGGAGGGGCCCGTGACGCAGGTGACATACCACTACGAATTCAAGTGTAACCCTTGTCTCGTAGGGAAAAGTGAAAAAATTACCCTCAAAATTCCGCAAAAGGTGAATAAAGTTTTAAAAACACGCTAGGGCACTATACAATTTTTCTTACTTTTTTAGAGATTTTCAAGATTTTGAGGTTATGTAGAATGATATTTTTAGTAACTGTGTTTCATTTTCTTCCGTTGTCGGATGCTTAGAGGCTCCTTTCTGGGCATCCTCGACTTCAATGGCTTAACTCCCTTGCCATAGACGTACGAAAGGGGAGTCCAGGGGGGCCCGGCTCCCCATAGAAATGAAAATTATCATCTGCCCCCTCAAAAAAAAATTTATAGATGTTTTGAATGCAACAATTCGAAAGTTTTTGGTGCTGAAAGTAAACAAAAAGGCGTAATTATTCTGCAGAAATTGATGGAAAATCTCCATCATAAGAGCTTCATAATGCGTCCAAATAGATTTAAAATTTCAAAAATTTCCCGGGGGAGGCCCCCCGGCCCCCCCCCCCTCCCCTGTGCTAGGGGCCCGGGCCAGAAAATTGGTACCAGGGCCCGAGATGGGATGTGGCGGGCCTGCCTAAAAGGCAGATTCCGATTTGCCAGTTGCCATTCTTTAATTCTAATGAAAAAACTTTTGACACCTCTACGAAAATTTCTGAGCAAAAGAAGAAAATATTAAGAGGAACAAATTTTAATTTTTAACACTGTAGAATCAGAAAGGGACACATCAGAAGCTATAAAATCTGTACCACCATAAATGCACTTGTGTCATATAAAAAATCAGCCTGAGAAAAGATATGCCTGAAAAGATTCTCTTGATTTTAAAAAATATCTCATTATACTTTCCGTCATTTACAGTTGTATAGTGGCTATTACAAACATGAGATTGAATCGGGGCTCGTAGGTGCAGAAATCATGCTGGAAAAAATGGGTTACAAGCACTCATCTCAAGATGTTTCAATGGTGCTGGATACTGTTACAAATACTGCTCGCATCGTAGATATATCCAAGGATTGTCTGGTAGCAATGGTAGAATGTCAGGTAAATTATTTGAATTTGGTAGATTGATTTTTAGATTTGATTGGTCGGTTTTGGTAAACTTCTCAGTTATCTATGGTTTATCAGTACCTAATGCAAAAAATATAGAAAGACAAAATGTATGAGTTAGGAACCTGTAATGTCTCTCGCACATTGCTTTTTTATTAAAGCATGGTCTGAGTCGCAATCATTGCATATTTTTGTAAAATTGGCTAATAGATCAACTTTTGTTTTCACATTATAAGTAGCCGAAAACCAAAAAATCTTGTAATGTTAACTATTCAAACAAGTTCTGCTCCTTGCAGAAAATCATCAGTGAAAAGTAGTTGTCCATATCACTCTTCAAATTCGTAGGGTTCGTTAAAAGTAAAATTAAACTCCTAAAATATAATAAACCAAACAAAATAAAATTTTATAGAATGAAGAAAAATAAACCAAATACCTCTAATCTGGAAGTTTAGGTGATTTGACTCAACTGATTGATCATAACTTATTTCTTTTTTGTTGTTGCTTTCCTAATTATATTCATAATTTTTATTATGAGTTTATTATTACTTTCGTAGGCGGGCGTGTAACCAATTTTTGGGGCTATTCCGCCAATTTTTAGGCTGAATCAATTGTAACAGTTGAAAAAGAGGTAATTTTTGTTTTATGAAAATTTTGAATTTTGTCAGAATCATTTTCCTCTAATGTTCTTGAGGTAAATGATACCAATGCTTACGCAAAAGGACTCCTTAGCTACAAGTTATCTTAAAAATTATAACATTTAGTTTCTCAGAAGTTCCAGTCTTCAAGGTTTATCCAAACCATTTTTTTTTGTCCTAGGACAAATGAATATTTTTGGAAAGATATTTGTAGCCTTTTTGACACACATAATAAAATTTCCGGTTAAATTTTAAGCCCAAGCTAGAAATTCTGAAATTAACCTAATATATTTTTCGTTTTCTCCTCTAGATTCTGCGCACGGTGTATGAAGAAGTCATAAAGAAATGTCATTGCAGCTGGCTCCAAGTTTTGGATTACCGTGAAGCATTCGTTAGTTCGCCTGAAATACTTTCGGACGCTATCATCAATAAGACACTACCCAAAATCTTCAGCCAACAAACAACAAATCACACAATGTGCCCTCACAGTACATCATACAAACCTGTGTCCTTTCACGACTGTATGTATAACAATTATCCTCCAAATCCTTACTATCCGTACCTAAGCATGCAGCCCCCCATGTCAACTTATACTCAACCTTATTGTCAAGGGAATGTACCTTTAAAACCCCCTTTCATGTGTCCTCCCTACAGCCAATACAACTATCCTTATTCAGCCCCTAACCATGGAGCTTTACCACAAAATTACACCCACCCTGTTCCAACTGGGCAGCTAATAGAAATAGATCCTCCTCAGGAATCGTATTATTGCCACCGAAGGAGCAACTCAGACCACAAAATTAGCCATCAACGAAAAAGTAGTGAAAGGTATTCAACTGATTCGTGTAGCCGCTCAACTCCATCTGATGATTTGCCGACTCAAGGGTCGAAAACTAAGTCATCCAACTGTGTAAAGATCGATGGTTCTGTGAGTAGTGAGTGGGATTTTATCGATCCTAGTGATATCAGAAATTCAAAAGCACAGGTAGCAGCTAAGTCAAAGTCTAATTATAGTTCATCGAGTCTAGATAATCTAAAAATTAATGGTAGTTTGGTTTCAGAAGACTCAAAGCTTTCAGACACCTTAGGAAAACTTTCGGTTTGTGGCAGTAGTAGGTTAAAAGCATATGAAAGCCAAGACTCGACTGACTCCAGCCAAAGAATGAGTGCTTACGATAACCAATCTGGGTTTCCTGCAAGTAATTACCAGTCGCTTCATAGTCCAAGCAAATCAAAAACTCTGGTTACCGAATCTGGGAAACAGCCGTCCAAACCTACCTCTAGCCCTAATCAAACTCGTAGTGATAATTTGTTGATAGATACGTCAGAACTGGTCGTCAATCTGAACTCATCCAATGAGTGGAGTTGCGCCAACTGCACTTATTTAAACAAAGAATCAGCAAAGATCTGTGAAATATGTAATAAAAGTAGGACAAGTGGGAATGAAATGGCTCCGCTTATCAGTGGCGGAAGGGAATGCCCCAAGTGTACTTTAGTTAATGAAAAAGATCTTTCAACTTGCATAGCTTGTAATTCTGATTTAAAAGACTCATCAACTTATGTTTAGTATAGAGCGTTGCTTTTATTTTCCCTGTAATATCTTTTAAGTTTTCAACTTGTTGATGGCCACGCTGAAACTTGATTTGTTTTTCCGCGTGTTTTTGTGCCGGAGAGGTAGTTGATTTCTGTGCAGCGAACCAGATTTTTTATAGAGCTGCATGCAATTATCTGCATATTGCTGCAAAAATGCTCCACCTCTTAGTCTTAGGCCTATGCTTTTGTGGAAATATGGAATGAAATGTGCTTTTTTTTACGTTTTTGTGGCAGTTGACTTGTGACTTGACCAAATTGCAGTTTAAGTTGTCGATAATGTCTTCCGCTGATAATTTTATCCTTGGAAAAAGTTTGAAAGGTTTGTTTTTGACCCCTCATGACTAATTTGTTTCCCACTCCCCAGCTCATGTTTTTCAAGTCTGCCTTTTAAACCAGTTTTAGTTTTCATCTTCCTCTTCTTAAGGGTTGTTCTTAAAGTGAGTCTCCCCATTTTTCCCTGATCTATTTTTGTAGCCACAAACATTCCCTGTGCATAATTGAAAAGTGAAACCCACCTTTTTAAATTTATTCAAGTTGCCTTTTTATTATTATTTGTTTCTCAAAAAAGATTGAAATATTTGCACAGAAATGGTGCTTTTCTGTCTAAGTCTTAATTATAATTAGAATTATTTTTCCTCCCAGCAATTGTTGAATTTTTAGGAAGAACAGAGACAATGAGAGACCCTTCATGGTTATCTTGGCAATTGTGGAAGCTTTTACTTTAAAGACTCCAACTAGATCTCAAAGTTAAACTCTAACTCTACGATTTATTACCAACATTCGATCAGGATAACGCGCTTCGCACTTCAGGCGTTATGCATTACTCCTTTGATTTTATGTTAAAGAGTATGATTGGATTTTCTGTTTGAAAAAAGCTGTTGAACAATTTTTAGAGGCAGCCGTTGAAAAATGTTGAAAAATACTTGAGTGAACAAATATCAATGTATCCTTCGAAAGCTGTGGCTGTCTCCTTCTTATTGTTATAATCGTGAATTAATTTACCCTCAGTTTTTTTTACGGTAAAAAGTAGAGATCTAACTTTCTGAACAACCCTTTTGGAATCTTTTGTCCCCAACATGATGTTTTGATCGGTGATGGTTTTATAAATGCTAATTTAAGGAGAACAACCTTCAAACAAAAATTTTTTTGAGGGATGTTGAATTCCAAAGTTGAATTCCTCTTTGTTTTTTGCAATGGTTTGGATATTTTTAAACTGTTCATTTTCTCATGTGCCAACTTTTATTCAAGCATAATTTACTGAATGCCTGTCATCGGGGAGAATATTTGAAATTCACAACAAAACACTTAGTAGCCTTTTCATAAAAATTACTCACATTTGCTAACCATAAAATTACTGGTACATCAATCGGAAAAACATATGTTATATTTAAACTCGTTAGTCTTCTATAAACCTTTTTGAAGGTGTATTCATTTTCTTCTCGGCGATTGTAAATCCATCACTCCAAACCATTCAACCTTACTTACCATGATTATCATTATAAATATCAGGCTTTTAATTAGTATTAGATACTTAATTTGTCAATTAAATTATCAGTTTAATTTGAGAAATTTATTTTAAAAATGTAAATGTGTAAACGATAAAAGCTTTCAAACCTGTTTACTTTGTCAACAATAGGTGACAATGGAGGGGAAAATTTTTCATTTTTTTCAATGTCTGATTATTATGCAGGACGCATTTAGTCATGCCAATATTGAGCTGCTCTTCTCGATGCTCAGAAATCAAATTTGAAGTCGGATAAGGAGTGCAGAAAGTTTCAAAACCAACTGTTTATCACAATCAGGTGTTTTTCCTCACTTATTTTATCCTGCCTTAGGAAAATGGCCAAACCGCCCATCTTTTATAAGGTGATGAGCAAAAGAAAAAAGAATTATTCATCTTTGAAAACTCCCTCACAGTCAAAAATTTGCCTTGTTTCTGTCGCAATCTGCTGATCGCAAAACAGGGTATGTTTTGGGCCCCTGAAATTGGTGGAAACTAAAAAAATTGAGAGATGGTTTTTTTCTGTCTGAATGGTAGCGAATATAGAATTTTAATAAGCTCTCTTGATAATAAAAAATTATTTCTCGAGTTTGGTCGGTGAATCTTGTAATGGCTGTTGAAGTGCTATCTTGCAAAATTCCATTTCATAAAAAGACAGCTCATTTGCTTCCCTCACATTACAAGATTATGCCAGAAATTCTGCTCACAGGAATGTTTTTAGCCCAGTATTTGGAATATCTGCATTCCACTGCTGTTTTATTCTCTCTGGAGACGACAGTCTATTATCAGAAGTTTTAAAAAGCACATTCAATTTTTCTAGGCTGTCAAACATGGAATCTTTCAACTCGTGGCATTATGTTTTTTTTTTTTTTTATTTCATTTTATTTGAGTTGCACAATTGTTGAATAATCTCTTGTGATAGATAGTGGTGTTACTTTCTTGATTTTTAAAGCTGATATATGTTGGGCATATTTACGCTCTATTTTTGGGCTGAATCTATTGTCTTTGTCTCCCCTTTTTTTAAGAATGCATTTTTTTTTTTTTAAATCAATTCAGACATAATTGTTGCGTCAATATGTTTTTTTGTCTGTGTAATTTTAATTCATTATTATATATTTGTAAGTAAAGTCAATGTAACTGGAAAACAGTAGAACTGAGAGGTTGAAAGAAGCCAAGCTTTGGTTTTTTCCAAAACTGATTGTAATGTCCTTTTTGACTCCCATCAATTGCACACCCTTACAAAATGGTGGGAAGTCAATGCATACAACAGTAAGAAAATAACGAATTCAATTTTTTACCAAGGATGATATTGAATGTCTCGGACAGTTTAAAGTGTTTCTAAAAAAATTGCTGCTTTTAATTTCTTCCCACTCTGCATGCGTTGACCCCATTGTTATTTTATCTCTTCGAAGCTATTCAATTAAAAAATTGGAAAAACAGAGAGTAAACAGCGTTTATTAATTTGTAATGTCTAATTTATAATTTCTTTTTTCATGAGCACCAAGTTTAACAGAAGTGTATCAAGTTTGAACTGAGAAAAGGTGTTTGAAGTTTTATACCTCCGCAAGATTCATTGTTAAAGAGAAAATTTTACAAGTGTTTTCATGTTATGAATATTTTTCCTGGATATTTAATTTTTGATAGGTGAAAATTTACCACTAGTTGAACTCATAACAACTCCTGACTCATTTTTTCCCAATACTAAACAATCTGTTAAACTCGATCTTCATGTTGTATTTAATATTAAGTTCCAATTATGGCTGCCTTGCCTGTTTTTATGGTGGTAATATAAACTCCATACTTGATACGTAAGGTCCATGTTCAAACTTTCCAGTCCCCATGATTTTAAAACTAGATGAAATTTTATTAATAAGTCAGGTCATTTAAGCAGAATCAGTCTGACTGCACTGAACATTGTCTAATTTACTCTTGTGCTTTATTTTTTTTTATCAGAGAATCAAGCTACCGAACACCTTTCCACTTTCTTTTAATTTACCATAAGTTATGAAGAATGTAATCACAAAACATAATCTGGTCCAAACATATAATATCAAAGAAAATTAGGCAATAGATGGTATTGTTAGGCTGATCCCACTAAAGTTGGCCCTATCTTCCCTCGTCTCTATTCTGACTTGTCATTGTTATTTTCAAGTTTGGATTGTTTTAGTGAAGTAATGTTAATTTATTTTTATAAAATTAAAATTATCGTTTTTGCTCTAAATTAATTTTTGAGCTACCCTGTCTTCAGTTCGCTCTGCTGAAATCAGATAATCTGAATACTTACAATGGATTTGATTATTGAAAACTTTTACAGGTACATATGATTAAACTTTTAGGAAAGGATAACATTGTCCATTATGTAAGATTTGAAAAGAAAAATCAAGTTTACAACTGAGTCAGTCTATGTATTATGACACTATTCTCGCCAAAAATACAAGTATCAATATAATATATATGACTGAGCTATCTGCTTTGAAAATACGTAAATTATAGTGAATTTTATTCTCAGATCGGGTAAAGACTTCAGTTGCCTCTGCAAAAATACGGACTTAGGCATGAAAGCACATTAATAATCACTGCTTTCATCTAGTTAGCTATAATTGTATTCACTTATATTTATTTTATAAATGCATATATTTTGATAATCGTAATGATCCACGTACTGGAATAAATTGGTCTCCATCTTTGCCACATGTTGTAGGCGACTGTTTCAAACAGTTTGGAATTTTTGGATTAATACTCCTTTCAAACTTACAAAGCCCTTATAATGCAGGATGACCTCTCAGGAATCCTTTACCCGATGCTGAGTAAAATTTGCTTTTTCAGTCTTACAGAGCCAAAGTAGTATATTTCTTCCTGCCAAAAACTTAAATTTTGAGAGTAAAATTTGTATGCTAACTCAAATACCGTGAGCCATTACGGATACTAGGTCTAAATTTATGCATTTCTGTACAAGTTTTGATGTCGAAATTTTGTTTATTTAATTATTACTGCTCACAACAGAAGCTTTGAAATTCGACTCCTCAGCTGGGCACTAACATTCGTCCTAAAAATTGATCAAATGGAAAACTGACATGAGTAACGAGTAACATCATTCACTTTTCTTCTTGTTCGGCACTTCTTTTTTTACAGTTCAATGACCATAAAGAGCGAAACCATGTATCTCCGTTTCTAATGTTGCAGACTTCCTGTCATACTTTATTTTTTGTTTGGAAAACTATTCAACATAATTTCTTCAAAACTTTCTTGATTTCTCCTCTCTGTTGAAAGAATTCTCTGTAACAATCTCATACTATGAAGTTGAAGTTGAAAATTAAAATGGGAGCGGTAATTTTGAAACACCGAGTGGAGATATGTGGTTTTGCACTTTTGCCAATGAGTTGTTAATTTTTCACTCTAATCCAGTGTTGATTTACAAAGTTTTTGTTGCATGCACTGCGTTATTGTTCCTGTCTCTCTGTCTAATTTCTCCCTCCTAACAAGATCTGATCCTTCCTACGAGCAGCTATAGATTTTTTACATATTATATGCTGTCATAAATCCCTATTAATCTTCAATACATCTCTTTTAAATTAATTCCTCACTATGTGTTTTGAACTGTCTTTTCCTGATAGTATAATTCAGTAACTGCGCTAATCAAAACTTAAATTGAGCAATGTACGTCCTACCCTTTTCACAGAATGTTATGCTTCATTAAAAATTAAGGAGAGTATATATACTGTTTTTTTCTTTTGTTAATCTAAATACAATTTATATTGTTATTTTAGTAGTAATTTATTTTAAACTAGCCGCACCTTTTTTGCCAACAGGTTGATACATATGTTACCATACATGTTTATCTTCTACAGGCATATTCAAATTAGTATAAGATGAGTTTCATCCATTTGCGTGGCCTCTTGACGGCGCAAACAACTGCAGGATTTCTTAGTGGTGTTCAAAATTTCTGCTCTCATTTATTTTAAAATAGTAAAACAAACCAACCAACAAACATTATTCTTTGAAATTTTTATGAATTATTCTTTATTTAGAGGAGAGTAAAATCAGGGTAGAAAAAGAAATAGTATCTTAATAATTAAAAAAATCTAGTTCAAGTATTTTTCAAGAAATGACGAGGTTGAATATTTTCCACTCTAAAAAATTAAGTATGACAGGAAGGAAAAAACGACGCAAATGGAGATACGCATTCCTGTAGATTCGCTGCTATATGTAAGCTCTTTAACGCCCAATTTTTATTCTATGTCCACCCTTGAGATCCTTTGGGCCAATTTCTATGATTTTTACAGCTATTAACAGGTAGAAAATTCTAGATATGCCTGATCTCTCCAAATTTTTTAATCATGACCCATATCCTCTGTTGGTATGTGATAAAGTTATGCTTTTTTTCTATTTAAACAATGGAGATTTTCATGATTTTTGCGACTGTCTGCAGGTTCAGATGAGCTCCTTTCTAATTTTTTGGAAAATTACTCGGGAAGCAGCTCTCTAAGGGCGTGAAGAGTCNGGGGGGGGGGGGGGGGGGGGGGTAAGGCATAGGGACTAGGCGTAGCAGCGCTTTCTCTAGTTACCTATCTTACTGGGAAACTTTTTTATTGATTTTGGTGGAAAAGGAAAAAAATAAACCTGTTACTACCAAACAGTAGAGCATCATCAGCTTGATACACTTTGCATTGAAGGCATCTATGCGTGCCATTATTACACGAGTAGTATTGCTTTTGAGACAGGAGGTGATTCTTCTGTGGAAGTGGGGGAATTTCTCAGTAAGTGAGAAATATTTTAACAGTACATGAAATATTGCTACATAATGCCTCAATCGCTCAAATTGTTCATGAGCATTATCATAAGAATAAAATAATTTTAAAAAAAAGTCACCAAAATCGTTACTCCTCTGACGTAAGGGCGTATCTTCGTTTCGACACGAGCCCCAGAAAGCATAGGTTTATATGTAAAACAGGGCTCTTGTGAAAATCGAGATACGGTCTTACGTCAGAGGGGCGACGAGATAATTGCAACACTGTAAAAATCGAATCGAGCGAAAATGAACCGAGTGACCATTGCACTAAATAACAGAGAAAAAAGGGCTTGAACTATCATTCTTTAATGAGGCTCATAATAAAGCAAACTAAGGGGACCGAGAAAGTAAAAACTGCACCTAAGTCAAATTCCTCATGGTACTGAATATTTTTTGTCGACCTTAAATTTTCAACAAGATATTGAGATTATGCCTCTAGAAGAGCTCAAAACTATCCTGAGTGCAATTTTTCCAGAGTGACGTTAGACGGAAGTCGGAGTGCCCAGCGGGCTGATAGTTGAGATTGATAGACAAAAGCCATAGACAAAGAAGACAGAAGGGACATGGAGGGATCCTATTGGTGGAAGCGAATGGTTGCGATGGACAAAGGAGGTAGATAATGGACTAACTATAATAACGGCAACCAACGAGAGACCCCACATGCAGTTAGTCCATCATTTTCTCCCTTAGTCTATAGGAACCAACCATTCCAACCTATACAGGCTCGCTCCATACTCCCTATGCCCTCTCTGTCTATCGCTTTGTCTATCAATTTCAATAATCAGCCCGCAGCGGGCTGATCAGGGCCGGATTAAGGGGGTGGCTACATGGGCCGCGGCCCGTGGCGACAAATCCTAGGAGCGGCAAAAATTTGCAATTTTTTTAAGTGAAGGTAATAAAAAAAAAAAAAAAAATCGGATTTAGAAAAAAAAATTACAAACGAGAAAAGGCAACAAAATCTCTCATTTCCTGAGAGTATAGTAATTTCTAATTTTGTCGTCTCTGAGTGATACAAGAGACAGCACCTTTAATTAGTCGAGTTAAGAGAGAAACCAAACACGCAATTTGGCCCGGAACTGCGCGACTTAGAGGGAAATGATGACGAGGACTTGAGATGAAAAGGAGAAGCCCTCGGCGCGGCGATCGGCATGTAACACATGATAGCGCCTACAAGACTGCACGAATACTTCGAGCATTGCATCAAACACAGTGCGGTCATTGCGGTGAGCGAGAAATGGATAGCGCCTACAAGACTGCGTGAATACCTCACGTATTGCGTCCAACATGCACAGTGCGTTCAGCAGCGGTCGGCGTGAAACGCATAGCGCCTACAAAACTGTCGGAATACTTCACGCATTGCGCCAAACACGGTGCGGTCTGCGCGGCGCGGCGGCGGAAGTTAAAATCATTGAACCACATTTTAACTTTTTCGTTCATTTCTTATGAATGGAAGGCCTTGTCCACACAGAGATAGGTTTACGGAACTTAACTTTCGAGCGAAGTTCTGTGAACTTATCCTAGTAGTGTTGACAGGGTTTTCCCAAAAAATGTGCTCAACACGAGGAAATGCGTCTCATGCACCCCTCTCCTGCTGGCACGTTCACTTGATGGTTTTTATTGAGTTTCAACACGAATGAGAAGGGGGCGGCAAAATACAGGCGGCCCGTGGGCGGCAAGTAGGTGAATCCGGCCCCGGGGCTGATTGTTGAAATTGATAGACAAAGCTATAGACAGAGAGGGCATAATGAGTGTGTAGCGATTCTAATGGTTATTTTCGGTGGCTCTTATATACCAAGACAATGATGGACTAACTGCAGGGTCTCTCGTTGGTTGGTTGCCATTATTATAGTTAGTCCATTATCTACCTCCTTCGTCCATCGCAACCATTCGCTTCCACCAATAGGATCCCTCCATGTCCCTTTTGTCTTCTTTGTCTATAGCTTTTGTTCATCAATCTCAACTATCAGTCCGCTGGTCACTCAGGTGTCCGTCTAACGTCACTCTGGAAAAATTGCACTCAGGATAGTTTTGAGATTTTCTACGGGCATAATCTCAATATCTTGCTGAAAATGTAAGGTCGACAAAAAATACGCAACCACTCGCTTCCACCAATAGGATCCCTCTATACCCCTTCGGTCTTCTTTGTCTGTCGCATTGTCTATCAATTTCGACCATCAGCCCGCAGGCAATCATGACTCCCTCCTAATAGAGTCACTTTATACTGAGAGTCAAGACAATTCGGCTCATGGATGTCACAAACGGGAATAAAGATTACAGAAATTGAACGTTTTTCGTTTTCTTTGATCGGCCCATTCTCAAATGCCTTTCTCCGTTCCTCCTCTCATTCCGTTTGTTCCTTGCCGAACCCGTAATTCCCTGGTCCATTCCAGATTATAATCTTTGCAATTGGTGAAAATGTAATCATTATTCCCGTTCATGACACTGTGGAGGCCTAAAATACGGGAACCAATCAGAAATGGATTCAAATTGTCTTGACTCTCAGTATAAAGGGACTCTACCTCCTAAGAGGAAGACGGTGGGACTTCAAGCCAACTTGAGTGGCTTATCACTGCCGATGCGGTTCCTGGTGGTTTCGTAGACGACCCGACTTCTCCGGGCCAGGTGTCCGTCGAAGCTGTACTGGAGTTGGGGCTGGACCCGGTCGACGTCGCCGAGGAGAGCGCGGGTGAGGAGCTCGGCGCCGAAGGCCAGGAAGCTGAGCCCGGCCCCGAAGCCGAGGACGATGAAGGCGATGACGACGTTGGACATGGTGAGCGGCTTGTAGGTCTCCTGGGTCTGGTGGTAGTCCGACAGCGGCCGGAACGGCGTCGAGTGGATGTACCAGCTGTGGATGATCCCGCTCTCCACGAAGATCGAAATCACCTGCGGCAAGCAGAATGGAGATGTTGCATGAGTAAAGAATTTGCGATTTGACTGTTGATTCTTATGTAAAAGTTCGCGAGAAACACGATGGTGCCACTGGTTTTCTCTGAAATCAACTCCCAAGCTGAAACAAAGCTCTCAAGTTGAGGCCAAAATGGAGGGGATATCCCACGCTATCCTGAGAGTCCACCTCTACATCAAGACAAACTCTCCATGCAAAGATAGGGAGCAAATACATTGGTGATGCCGTGTTCTCAGTTTTAGAGTCCCCAAATAAAGAGGCAGCCCTGTCAGACCGCCGATTTTCTGGATCAGTTTGGTTTTCCCCGGAAAAATCCCAATTTTCCCTTAAAATTCAAATTTTCCGGAGGAAATTCAATTTTTCGCGAAAATTGTGCATGCTAGAGAAAAACCAAGGTAATTTTACGGATTCAGCAGCTAAAAATGCCCGGAAAATCAGATACTGCATGCCTGTCAATTTTTCCAATTCTTCCCCCTTATCAATGTGAGGGAATTTTCCGATTTTTTCGGGGAAAGTTATGATCTGATATTGAGAAACGGAGGTCATTTTTGGAATCTGGCTAAAAATCTACCCAGAATCAGTTGATAAAGTTAAAGCAAGATTAAAAAAAAAAATTAAAAAAATAAAAATTGTCGATCAACGAAATCAAAGGATCAAACGTAATTTTTAATACACTGGGAAATCATTGGACATTTGAGGCCACGTCAGGGAAGCGAGCGACATTCCAGACATCATGCGTGGAAATTTTCTAACTAATAAGTGTTCTATGCTCTCTGATGTGCTCAAACAATCACGCAATATGTGGATTTTCATCCAATAATAATATCAAAATCCGAATTAATTGAATTTGATAAAATAAAAATTGAAGGGAAACGTGGAAATTGCATAGCTTGCCCTTTTTCCATACTTATTTGACGACGATGCGCAGCGACGCGACGTGCGACGTCTTCTTCAACTCTGTAATGCGGCTCGCGTGGTCGCTGCCGTCAGCGCAGCGTTTGGAAAGCCAATGCGCCTGCATTATTGGAGTTACGCAACACGCACGTCCGTCGAGCAAGTATAGTTGTTTCATATGAAGGGTAGGCGCTATGCCATTCAACAACTAAACGGGCTTTCGGTTGTCGATTAAAACTGATTATGTGACTGTTCAAGGGCATATCGCCCAATACACAGTAATCTACTAAGACGGAATAGTTTTATGTACGTGTCCGTGCCGCCTCCCCCCCCTCCTCTAAAATAAAGATCACTGTATAGTAATACTTACAAATCAATGGCTGAAGTTAGTTCAAGTAGGTTATTGCATAAAGGTGTTTCAGAATTTCTGAATGTTTTTCATTTTTTTCATGAGGGGACCAAACATTTCAATTTCAACCTGAAATGGAGAAAGGAACCAAGCCACATCAGCTATTGCCAAATTAAATTGGATAATTTAATTTCGTGCAAATTTCAGTGAATTTCCTCCCTAGTACGAAAAAAATTCCTTAAAATTTTCAAAGAAATCCGCTCAAACGTTCTCTCGTAAAAAATTAAATTATTCCCAGTTAAATTCGGCAATAGCTGATGTGGCTTGGTTCCTTTCTGCTTAATGCGGTCCAATTATTCCCTCTCTCACTAAACGAAATTCTCGTGAAATTCTCCGAGGAAAAAATCGAGCTGGTGGTTTTCCTTTATGAGAAAAGACGATGAGAAAGAGAAAAAAAAAGGATATAAACCAAAATTTGCAACTTCGCAAATGAAGATACGCATTTTCCGACTTAAGCCATCGAAATTTCGTCCTTAAAGTAAAGTAGACAGAATCGCTGTTTTGGCAAGATAGGTAAACCGTAGAAAATTGCCCCAGACTTGGCAAATCTTTTTTTTTTTTTTTTTTTTTGAAAAAACCATTTCACTTAATACCTATTTACGGGTCTCCTAATTTTTTAAGAGACTGACCTCATTCGTGATGATTAAACATGTTTGCCTCCATAAACCTCGATGAAGTGAATGGCACCCGATGCATAAAAAAATGTTCAGAGATTTTTTCTGTGACTTTGAAAACACACGCTGAAAGTTGATGAATCATCTGGTAACTTGGAGATTCAAAAAGTTTGAAATGCTGCTTGATTAAGAAAATCTATTATTAGCATGATTGCTATACTCCCTATAATGGCCATCTTAACTTTTCCATAAATGCCACTTACCGCGAGAAGTGATAATGGATACAATCATACCTTGTTGATGGATTCCAAGAACGGAGAATCGTAAGGAAGCATGTAGGCAATGTGATAGGCCTTAGGACAGTCCGCTACGATGTGGAGCAATACTAGATTGTTTTTTACGTAACTTGTGGCAATTTTTTCCTCGAGATCATTCATTCGTCCCAAAGCTGCAGCTTTACCTTCGTAAGCCACTTTACTCAGAATTTCAACATTTTTGTCATGGACCACCTAAAATCCAGGTAAAAAATGTCATTTTACACTTGATCACAAACGGCAAAATACTAATTATGCATATAATAAAAACCCAAGGTATTTTTAGAACTGAAAACTATAACTCTCAAACCTACTACTTCTCTAACAGCTATGTACCTTTTTAAACCTTTGAGTGCTGGATTCCTAGAAGTTTTGTTGATCAGCTGATCATAAGAATCAGTTGACTTTCGGCGCAGTTACGACTTGTAATTGGATTCATTGGGGCATTTTATAGGGAACTAGCCGTAGACAAGCTACCTCGCTTAGAGTCCTTCTTAGATATTTTAAAAGGTGCTTTTATGCCTTCTGATATTAATTTATGTCCGTATTTGTCTGGTCATCTATTTTTTGTGTTTTGATTGAATGCGAGAGGTAGACAAGACAATACGCAAGAAGATGTCTTAAGCACAAAGCTCTCTACATAGAGAAATTACAGAAAATACCTGAAAATTATCATAGAGCGTCTTCATGACAGGCTCATCCGATTCGAAAGTTTCTCGTAAGTTCTGTGATGCCGTTAAAATAGGGAGGTTTTTATCAGCGACCTCCTCCAAGGTGTCAATATCGGGCTCGTACGAAGGGTAACTGAGGAACTTTACCATGGATGCTTGGAAGATCGTAGCCGTGGAAAGGCTGAACCAGAGAAAGGATACCAGCGCCACTCTTTCAGACAATATTGCCGGAACCCTATTGAAAAATTTTAAAATACATTACTAGATACTGTCTTATTTCCGTTCGAAAATTGTTGCATAATTTTTTGTTTTTTACGTTACGAACCGACTTTGCAACTCGGAATCAATATGATGACGAGCTAGGATGATGTTATAGGGAAAAAATACAAATTTAAGAAGGGACTAAAAGGAAAAAGAGGGGTAAAACATGCCCACCAATATCCTTTTCATCCGTTTAATGGATCGTTTTCTTAACATGACGAGTAAGTTCCTTAACGTAATGAGAACTGCTGAGAATTTTTTTTCGTTCGATGAATTCGATTTTTCCCAATGTGCTTCCAGGGCCGGATTTAGGGGGTGGCCAAATGGCGGCAAATTTAAGGGGCGGCACACTTTGCAATTTTTTTTAAATGTAGCTGTTAAGAAAAATCGGATTCAGAGAAAAAATTATCAACGAGAAAAAGTGACAAAATCTCTCATTTTCCGAGAGTATATCTCTAATTTTGTCGTCTTCCTGTGATATAATAGACAGCACCTTACACCTTTAATTAGTCGAGTTAAGACTAAGAGAGAAACCGAACACAGAATTTGGCCTGGAACGGCGCGGCGCAGAGAGCAATGATGACGAGAACTTGAGATGAATAGGAGAAACCCTCGGCGCGGCGCGCGGTCGGCATGTAACACATCTTAGCGCCTACAAGACTGCATGAATACTTCACGCATTGCGTTAAAGACAGTGCGGTCGCTGCGGACAGCAGCGGGCGGCGTGAAACGCATAGCGCCTACAAGACTGCATGAATACTTCACGCATTACGTCAAACTTAGTGCGTGCAGCAGCGGTCGGCGTGAAACGCATTACAAGACTGTAGGAATAATTCACGCATTGCGCCAAACATAGTACGGTCAGCGCGACGCGGCGGCAGAAGTTAAAATTATTAAAGCACATTTATGTTTGTTCTTTCATAATATTTTCGTTCATTTCATGTAAATGGAAGGCCTTGCCCACACAGAGATAGGTTTACGTAACTTAGCTTTCGCACCAAGTTACGTGAATTTTTGCTAAAAGTGCGTTGACAGGGCTTTTGCAAAAAATGTGTCCAACACGAGTAAACGCGTCTTATGCACCCCTCCCCCTCCGGCACGTTTACATGATGCTTTTTATTGATGTTTCAAAACGATTGAGAAGGGGGTGGCAAAAAACAGGCGGCCCATGGGCGGCAAGCAAATAAATCCGGCCCTGTGTGCTTCCAATGACTGGATTGTGAAATTGTTATTGAATGATGCCGATCGATAAACAGCATTGCTAAGAAAGGGATTTATCAGTCAAGATCATTGAAAACGATTCAACAACCAATCTGTAGCTCAGCATGATACACAGGATAAGCAACTATTCGTGCATTACTACTTGGATTTGCCTAATGGGCTATTTGAAGGCGTTTGCTCTGCTCAAGCTTCATGCGCCGCATGGCTCCTAAAACTCAAAGGTGAGTTTCGAACACTGCTACTCGTGCACCTCTACTTTGATTAAATTTGCCTATTGGGCTAATTGAAGGCGTTTACTTGGCTACCTGTCGATGGGAAGCATGATGAAGATGCGGTAGAGATCGAGGGTGGTTAGGGCGAGGGAGTAGCGGCCGTAGTTGACCTTGCGGAGTAGGCACCAGAAGGTGATGCTGAAGGAGTAGGTGAAGAGCATGGCGAGCCACATCTCGACGGAGAAGGCGAGGAACATGCCCTTCCAGTGGGGCCGGAGTCCGGACTTGGCGACGACCAGGCAGAGCTTGTCGAAGTCGATCGGTCGCGTGAACCGAACTTGCGTTGTTTCGTAGTCCTTGATGAACACACTATTGAAAGAGATGTCTGCCCGGTCGTTGATTAGGTCGCCCAGGGTTCCTGTAGAGAGTAAGAAAAAAAGGACTCTAGTGTACTAGTCAGAGACAAGAGACCCTACACTAGTATCTTGGCCATTGTGGAAGCTTTTACTTTCGGGACTTCAGCATTCTACTGTTGACTTACCTACATGGTTGATGTTCAACAACGTGTTGGCAGTTTCGTTTTGCAAACAAGCCGAAAATGGCCGACGTTTGGGAAACTTGTTTGGCTCATGACGTCATTCGAAGCTCATCATCTACCATGTAAGTAAGTCAACAGCCGAAACTAGGGTGATGACTGTTGCTCCCTAATAATTGTCCATAAGGAATTGTTGAAACCCCGATAAAAGCTTCCAACTGTAGCTAGGAGGCCAGTGGAGGGTCTCTTGTCTCTGGTACTAGTACAGTGTTCGAAACTCACCTTTGAGTTTTAGGAGCCATGTGGCGCATGAGCTTGATTTTTAGGGGCCATTGAAGATTTTTTAGGGGCCAAATTAACTTTTTGCCTATATTACGGCGCATTTAGTGAAAAGTTCGACGCAAGATGTTTAGTTACAAAATTAGTAGCTGTAACTAAAGGAGATTTCGAAAAATCACCTAACAGAAAAATTATTATTTATTTGAGGGAGGGGGGGCGAAGGCAATTATCAGGGGCCACGTTGGCGCAGAGCCTTCATTTTATGGGCGCCATGACCAATTTGTTAGGCGAATTTGGCGCGTTGGCGCCTGTGAGTTTCGAACAATAGTACTAGATTTGGACGTATTTCTGTCAAACGGAACCAAGCGCCATCGGGGGAGGAAGGGAGAGGGGGGCTTGGATTGGCGGCGGAACCGAGCGTCGGGCTCATTCGTTCCTATACTCGCAATGCTTTTCCATGGCGCTTAGTTCCGTTTGACAGAACGCGCTATCCGGCATTCTAAATTCCTCAAAAGGAACTCAAATTGGCGCTTAGTTCCGTTTGACAGAAGTACGTCCATTCAACTCTTGTCTCCTTTCTTTTTTTCTTTTTTGAATTCTATTTTTAGGATTTTTACCTGTGAAGCTGCCGTTCGGAGTCTTGTAGCCGTATTTCTTGCCGTCTTTGGGCTCGGAGGTGACGGGTTTGAAGTTCATCCTGCGGGCGAGGGTGGAAAGGATGAACCCGTCCGGGCCGGAGTAGGAGCCGTTGCCCAGCGGAGTGGCTTTCATCCGGGCCGGGAAGATGCTCACCCGCAGCGGGTACCCGTTCAGGTCGTTCATCCGGTGCACCATCATCTTCTTGATCCGCCCGATGTTCCGCATGTGGATGCTCGTCACCTCCGTCGAGTTCTTGAACGGATTGTAGACGTTCACCACCTTGGGGTGACAAACACAAAAAAGGGATATCAGAAATGGATATGTTGTACGTGTGAGGAATTTGCGATTTGACAATTGATTCTTATGTAAAAGTTCGCGAGAAACACGATGGTCCCACTGGTTTTCTCTGAAATTAACCTTCAAGCTCAAAAAAAGCCCTCAAGTTGAGTTTCTCTCAAGTTGAGGCCAAAATGGAGGGGATATCCCACGCTATCCTGAGAGTCCACCTCTACAAGACGAATTCTCCATGCGAAGATAGGGAGCAAATATATCGACAGGGCTGCCGCTTTATTTGGGGACTCCATAACTGAAAATATGGCAACCCTGCTACCTAATGTATTTGCTCCCTATCATTGCATGGAGAGTTTGTCTTGATGTAGACGTGGATTCTCGCGGTAGCGTGGGATATCCCCCTCCTCATTTTTGCCTCAACTTGAGAGCTTTTTTGAGCTTGGGAGTTGATTTCAAAGAAAACCAGAGGCACCGTCGTGTTTCTCGCAAACTTTTACATAAGAATCAATGGTCAAATCATAAATTCCTCACACTTACAGCATCTCCATAGGACGTGAACTAAAGTTTTGGGGGAAAAAGAGCTGAATCTGAATCCTATCGGGGGTTTTCTAGGAGTTTTCGCTTCGGAGCTGCTCAGAAGTTTAAGCTATTTTTATTGCAGCACGGGGACCCATAAACTGTTCAGATGCGATACTCTTAAATGTAGATAGGTATTTTTGTATTTCATATAGACTAGGGGCTTATGGGGCTGCTTCGCAGCCCCTTATTTTTCCTGTACACTTTTCACTTTCACATGTTTTTTTTTTTTTTATTTATTTTCATTTAATTTTCTGTTTTGTCTTTGAATCGGGTCTAATTATTTTTTTGAGAGAATAAATATAACAAATGTTTTCAAAAATTGTAATTTTATTTAGTAAACTTTAAACTAAAATTTTGTTTTAATCTTCATACAAAATTATTTTTTAGGTTTTACATTTGTTTTCAAACTAATTTTAAAGAAGATCTTTTTTTATTTTTTAAATACTTTGCTTTTTTTTCGATTAAATTGTTGATTCTTCTTTTGCCATTTCTGTCCTGCTTTTCTTCCTATATTTCCTACAACTTTGCTCTTCTTCTTTCCTCCTTTTATCTTTTCTTTTTTTGCTTCTTTTTTTGCTTCTTCTTTTTCTTCTTCAGTAGCTGTTCCTTCTGGTTCTTCTTCTTTTTCTGCTCCTGTTTTAACTTCATCTAATTTTTCCGCTTTTTCTTCTTCGTTTTTTCCATGTTCAGTCTGCTTTCTGGTTCCGGTAATAAACTTACCTATATATGGATCCTTGAACTTTAAAGCAATAAGGTCCATCACCCGGAATATCAATTCGATTAGCAGAGAAAGAGGCAAAAGCAACAGCACTATTATAATTTCTGATATGCTTTATGAAATTTTGAGAATATAAAAATAATGATTTCAAATCGGTATTTGTCCGAATACTCGGTAAAGAAATTAAGCCATTTTGGCAGCAGTTATTAAAATGACCATTGGACATTTCACCCTGAAAATGGCGAGCATCACAATGATGACAAATTATATTCATTGAACCGACTGAAAATTTGGTAACAAAATTTTCATCAAAGTTCTGATCATCAATTTTATACTTCCGAAATGAAGAAATGAAACTTTGATTTTCTATACTAATAACAGAGTTAAGTTCTTGCTTCACTAAACGAACATGCAAAGAATTCTGGAAAACGCGACCACGTTTTGGAGGACGACCGCCTCGGTCATTGAAAATTTCACTCATAACAACTGTTAAATTTAAAATTAAAATTAGTAAAAATTATTATTATTTTAACAAAATCATAACTGAAAAGTTCAATTTTTAAATTAAAAAAAATAAATCAGAAGAAAAAGGATGAAATGAAAATGGAAATTAATAATAAACATATTTATACACATTGAAAAGAAACAGCGTGAAAAGTTCTGATCGGAAATGAGAAAAAAAACTTGGAGGTTATTGACTTAATGAGGAAAAATTGGCAATAGGAAAAAGATGGAACCAATCATGAAAAACCGTAAAAAAAAAAAAAAAAAACGCGGGAAAAGAAAAATGTAAGTTGATGGCAGTTGAGTGTTGGAAGTAACCTCACTTAATGATGATTGTTGAATGAAAACAGCTGATAAAAAGACAGCAAACAGTAAAGTAAGATGCGTAGCAACAAAACTTTTCCGAAAAACAAAAAACAAAAAACCCCCACTTCCCCTCATCCAATTTATGAGTTTTTAGGGATTTAAAAATCGGGGACGAACCCCAGAAAATAATTTATAGTTTTCCCGAAGCATTGAGAACAACGCCTTTCAAATGAACCAACGCCCCTCGCAATTAGTACAGTGGTTGATTCACAATTTCATTCTATTTTTCAAATTAAATATTAAGATATACTAGGGGGCTGCGCCTCTTTCCCGTTTTTTTTTCAGAAATGACGTAACTACCATTGATTATTTTCTTTTTTGTAAAGATAGGTTTCTTGACATAGATATTTAGGCAGTTCGCCCTTTGGCCGCTCTGTGGTTCAACCCCCCGCGGGTGCTTTGCAACGTCTAATCGAATTTGCGAATGGGCCGATCAAAGATTACGAAAAACTTTCAATATTTGTGAAATCTTCATTCCCGTTTGTAACTCCATGAGGGGGTGTTGTCTAACTCTGAGTATAAACGGACTCGGGTGATACTTTTTTTTTTTTTCTACTACTTAAAAATCCGTGCGCTTAAGTCCCGTCCCCCCCTCCGTCCCTACAACCATTGTTTGAGACCACACTGGAAAAAACACATTGGATTTAGAGTCCAGGCTCTTAAAAACATCGACAAGAAAAAATACTCTTCACACTTTCTTTTCCTGTAAACAGAACAAACAACAAAAAGAATTATTAGAAAAAACGCTTAGTGAAAAAATAACACCAGATAACATAATGAAGATAATGCTGGATTCTAGGAAAAACTGGACAGAGGTCTACAAATACATTAAAAACATTCTAATAAGCAAACAAGCAGCACTGAATGACGAACAACAGATAACCTCAGTTAACAACCCCTTCCCCCTCGATGATATACCAATAGGTGATTCCGAGGTAAACAAGAAATCATGATTCAATCAAGATGAACAAGATACTTCAAGAAATTTTCAAGAAACCTTATCACGTACCAATTGTATCATAATATGTAAATAGTATGTAACTCTATAAAGGGAACATAATTCTAAAAGGGGGAAAATTATTCTAAAATGTAAATAAATCATATAGGTTTCTTTTCAGTTTGTATTGACAGGTCTTCGAGCTCTGGCCTGTCTCCCATAGTTTCAACTTGTAAATAACCCAATAAATATTGATTTCTTTCAACAAAAAAAAAAGAAAAAATACTCTTGATTCAATCGGATTTTTTCTTAAACCAAGAACCAAGCTTCTTAATTTGAGCGGATTTCCTTTTGAACTAAGCAAACATCTGATTGAATCAAGAGTATTTTTTCTTGACAATGTTTTCAAGAGTCTGGACTCTAAATCCAATGTGTTTTTTTTCCAGTGCATCAAACTCGGGTCGCCTGGCCGGGAATCGAACCCGGGGCTTCCTGATCATAGAGCTAGCTCTACAACCACTACACCATAGGAGGCCGAATTTGGCCGGAAGGTGACGAATTATGTGCTTTCGACATGGAAAATTGGATGGAACCTCTTTGCCGTCGGTGGCGTAGAGGAGGACGTTGCTGACAAAGTAGACGTCCCAGAGGGTGCGGAAGAGCTCGAGGACGTTGGGCGGGACAGCGGCGGTGACGAGGACGTAGTACTTGGTCGAGGTCCAGAGGTCATCGGTGCCGTTGGGGTTGACCAGGTCCCAAACGTCCAACTCCTCGTCGACGATGACGATGGCCAACTTGGCGCGCGGCTCCTGGCTCGTCGTCGCGTTGCGCACCGTCAGGATGATCGGACCGATCTTCTTGAACAGGCTCCCCACGAACTCGGAGTTGTTCTCTGCATGCTCCACGTCCTGCACATAGAGGGGATACTATAGAGACTTCGTGCTCTCAATGCTGTAGAGACTCTGTACTCTCAATATTGCAGAGACTCTGTGCTTTCAATATTATAGAGACTCAGTACTCTCAATACTGTATAGTGACTCTATACTGCCAATCACTGCCACTGACCAAACAAACAATCTTAGATATTCAAAGTTTATACCAAGAATCCGCATATTAAAAATAGTAACAATAAAATTAACGGAACCTAGAACCAGTATGATTGTTGCCTATTCGGCGAAATCGAAGGCGGACCTCACGCGGACGACATCCACCTATACACATGTCTTCACGCACTTTCTATTGGTTGGAGCAACAAAGTTAATGGAGGGAGGCAAATCTTTGCTCTTGCTTTTTTCTCTCCTCGCTTTCCAGCTTTCTTTTCCCTTTCCTCTTATTTCAGCGCCTTTTGTTTTGAAAAATGTTTTGCACGAGCATCTGATCAATTTTGCATCATCATATTCCTCAGGCTAAGAAGGGGAGTGGGAAAAGCAGTTTCATCTAACCATGCCTGAAGTTTAACAGTAATCAGTTTTTCTAAAAACTAAAATGTTTCATAAGTGCGTTATCGGCAAAAGGGTGATGAAATTCCCAACTCGTTACCTGTGCGAAAATCACCTCCACGGAATGGGACTCGGCTACTTTTTTCGTGGCCTTCACCAGTCGAGTGAAATTCAGGGATGCAAGACGAGTCCAGTTGAGAGCTTGCCAGGACTCAGATTCCATCGGGAAGACGTCTGATGCCCAGGATCGGTCCGAGCTACCCAGCAGCTTTTGGTTCGCCTCGTCAACTCCAACCGATATCATTATGAACCAAAACAGAGTTTTAAATTCACCCATCCTGGTGCATGATGTAGCCAGCTGCGTGCACATGGATATCATACTGGAGAGGAAATAATTTGATTACATTTTGCAATAAGGAACCACTATCTCCGGCTCTTCCATAAAAGCAGGTATCTGCATGGGGAAACCAATGGCATATATGCTGTTTCTATAATGAGCTAGAAATAGTGGTTCCTTATTGCAAAATGTAATCCAATTTTTAATAGTTATTCTAAGGTTACTCTATCAATTCATCATCGAGCTCCAAAAAGTTCTTTATTATGTGTTTTTTTTTATCTATATGATCGTAGAATACTTGGATCTAATTGCACAAAAAGGAGCCAGCGCGATTACAGTGGTGTTGAAATCGTGCAACTTCTCCTTTTCTTTTAAAAATACTTAAAACATATATTTACCTACGATATTAAAATTTACACACTTATTTGCCTTTGAAAGTAACAATTTTTGGTTAGAAGTTAGAGCTATTTGCTATTCTCGGAGGTTTTTTTAGATAATTATATAGAAGCAATATTTTCACAACACTGTTATGGATTTGGTTCCATTTCGCTAAATGCACGCGATCCTTTTCTGTATGCTGTGTCATCCTTGACTCCCGACTTGATTTTTTGTGGACCAAGGTCCCTTTTCCGAGGACAGTCATAACTAAAATGAACACCAAAAAAATAAGGAACCAAATAAAACCTTGGGGCGCGAAAAACACGGATGATTGAATGATAGGCCCGTATTATAGTCAATGACGATTTCAGAGTTTGAAGGAGGCACATCTGCTTTTTTCGTGCTTGAAAAGGTATAATACGTACACTAGAATATGGAAGAATAAGGCATTAAATTAAATTATCGTTCGATTAAGGTTCCGAAGAAAAAGCTGGCTGGAATGCGATACTAAGCACATAAACCAGGACTAGGCAATGTAATGGTCTACTAGATGTTATTAGATAACGATCGTGCTCACAGCAGTTCGAGGAGAATAAAGTACCCTAGTAGCAGAACAAATTTTTGTTTTTCTAAAAAAAAGTATAAAAAAACAAATCTGTTATCTAAATGGTAGTTTTATATAAAAAACGTGTAACGCTTATATGAAAAAAATCAAAGTTCAGATCTGACCATAATATATGAAAAATGATAAAAGCTAGATAAGGTAATTTTTTTTATAGACAATTTTATATTTTTTTATATAACGCATGCATACGAAAGTGTTAAAAGTGAACATTTTTATGTAACTATTATATTAAAAAAAAAGGTGATCATTTTCGTGAGCTTTTCGCGAATTAGAAGATTTTTTAGTATGTTTTCGAAAAGCTCACGAAAATCATGACTTTTTTTATATAATGGTTGAATAAAAATGTTCACTTTTAACACTTTCGTATGCATGCATTATATGAACAAAAATTAACTTTCGTACATAATCTTTATCTTTTCCTTCTATGGATCTGCTGCTAGGGTAGAGAGGGGAAAAATTCACAGCAGAATTCATGGGCTCAAAATTCGAATAAAATGTATCACTTACCGCTGAGAACATGTGAATCTTTACCGGTAAACGCGCCAAAGATCACTGCAAGGGTTGAAGAAAACTTTGGCACAGACTGACAGCGGACAAACGTCAGCCATTCCTCGGATCGAACCGGGCTTTAATGATGTAATTTTGTGGTGGGTTTGACAAAAGTTCTTTTATAGCACGTCTGAGAACAACTAATTGGTTGCACCGTGACAGCTCTTCAGTCTTTCGCTAATCCGAACAACTTCGTTACGCCGGCGTGCCAAACAAAAACCGCAGATCTCAACACGATTTCGGAGGAAGTCACGCGGTTTTTTATCAGCAAGTTATTAAGGAGAAGTCTTCATTCCGATTATGGAGAAATCACTCTGCAAAAAAAAAAACAAAGGTCATGCCGTTAGCCGGGGGTCACCTCGCCCCAGGAGGAAAAAGAGGGAGCGCCTGCCCCTTTAATGAAGGGAAGGCTACAGGGATAGCTTCAAAGACAATGGAAATAGTTTAAAAATAATGAGCTGCACGATTGAGTTCTTGTGAGAGCACTGGGTCCGATTTAAACGAAGCTTCAGTGAATTACAGGAACAGCAAGACGTCTAAAATCAACTGGACTTCATTTTGCAATAAGGAACCACTATTTCTGGCTCATCCATCAAAGCACCTATCTGAGTCGGGAAACGAATGGCACGTGCGATGTTTCTAAAATAAGGCAGAAAGTGGCTCTTTATCGCAAAATTCAGTCCAAATGGACCACATTTTGCATTAAGGAGCCACTATTTCGGACTCATTTTAGAAACAGCATAATATACCATTGGTTTCCCTATACAGAAGGTTGCTTTTATGAAAGAGCCAGAGATAGTGGTTCCTTATTGCAAAATGCAATCCAACTGTCAAACTCACAAAAAGCTTTCAAAGTTAAGGCCACACTAGTATGTTTAGGTGGAATGGAGAATTTGTAGGTGTCTGAAATTTGAAGAATTTTATTTTGAAGTGGAAACCACTGAGTGAAGTGAACACGAGGATACCATTGGTTCATAAATTGAGCAATTATTGGAAAAGATGTGACGAAAATATCTAATTTGCTAAAACACATGCGATTTAATTGGAAATGCCGCCAGATGACGCCAAAAGGTGGTGCAATGGTGCATTTTTTTCACTTTTAAATAAATTGTTAGACTATTTCCCATTGCAGAAAAAAATTATAAAAAAATACTGCGAAATCAGCTTTTTAAGCACTCTCAGATATGGCAATAAAAAATTTGCGTGCAAATTCTCCATTCAGGATTATGGGATGGAAGCGTACACAGTAAAACGAAGTGACATTTTGTGTCAATGTGTATGTATATACTGTTAATATTTATCGGTTGGTTTTCCTTTCGGTTACATGGACCAAATCTTTGGGTCGAAAAATTGGCAATCTCAATTCCTGAGAGTTAGTATAGTAATTTCTAATTTGTTAGTCTTTCGGTGATACAAGAGACAGCGCCTTTCATTAGTCTAGTTGAGAGAGAAACCAAAAACGCAATTTGGCCTGTAGCGGCGCGGCGCAAAGAGCAATGATGACGAGGACTTGAGATGAAAAGGAGAAGCCCTCGGCGCGCCGCGCCAGTCAGCATGAAACACATATTAGCGCCTACAAGACTCCACGAATACTTCACGCATTGCGTCAAACGAAGTGCGCGCGGTTGGCAGCAGCGCAGCGGTCGGCGTGAAACGCGTAGCGCCTACAAGACTGTGGGGATACTTCACGCATTGCGTCTTTCGCATTGCGCTTGATTAGCATTTTCCTCACTATAGGCAGATCATCAGCTTTGGCGCAATCAATTCTGGATACGATCGATGTATTTTTAATTGTAACCAATAGTTGGATTATTTTGGGAAAATCAAAATTTCAGTCTCTAGATCAATTTGATTGCAATGTGCAACAAGGAACCAAGAGCAATCCTATGTTGCTAAGATTGTACATGGTACAACTTACATTCTTTGCAATAAAATCACTGAAATCATGCAAAAAATTAAATTTACAACAGTGGTGTTCGTCTTGAAATTGTAGTTTATTGGGAGTAAAGGCTATCCTTGTCTAGATGATCAGTTATATTTGCAAGGTAAAAAAAGTTGCACAATCTTAACGACAAATGGAATGCTCTTGGTTCCTTTTTGCAAAACGGAATCCAATTAGATGAGGGAATGCTTGTGCTGTTACCTAATCATCTCTCAAGGTGTTAAAATAAAGTCAAAAGATTTCTTTCCGATAATTTGCAACCGACTCCAATGTATATCGATGGTTAATTGAAAACAGTACTTTTGACTTTAAATCAATTGCTATTTATTTTTTTCAGTTTTTTTTTTTTTTTTTGTTTTAAGCAGCGAGTCGTCAATTAGCGATTGAGATTAGGTAAAAATCACAACAGATTACAACAATCATGGTTTTTAAAAAAAAATTGGGTTGAAAACGATCAGTTACATGCACATAAATTGAATAAAACCTCACCTTTGAGGTATGAGTAGATGTCCACTGGAAGAGTTTTCTCGCTGTAGGAGCCAATGTCAGGAGGTAAAAATCGTCAAACAGTTAATGAAGAGAACTTGAAGAAACTTAAAGTAATATTTTGTGATTTCTGAAAGAGAAAACATTTTCCTTTTTCACGTTACTTGGCTGCACTATCTGTCTTGGTTTTCCTCAAATATTAGACCCACATTTCTCCTTGGATTCCAGTTTGGTGTCAAAGAACAGATTAACATTAAAGGCGCCTTGATTGAAAGGAGGGTTCAATCGGGCATAAAAGCTATCGCAGGTGTCAATGGTTTGGTCAAGTGCTTGCCGCGCTAAGTCACACCAAACGCCCAGAGGTCATTCATAAGTAATCGATACATGATCGGAGGCCGATGCGTCTCATAAAAATTCGGTTTCTTGTTCCTTTTTGAGGGAAGAGGAGAAAAAAAAATGTGGAGTGACGATAATTATCACAAATAGCGAGATCTTTGAAAACAGTTATTCTAACTGCATGATTTGACTGAGCCAATTAGAGTCCCTTTATACCCAGAGTTAAGACAACTCGATTATCAGCTGACTGGCAGCCGGCCTTGGCTGGCCATGGAGGCCGAAACGAGTGCACCCAAACGAACGAAATTGAGAGATAAGGATCAGGAATCCTGCGATGTCTGTCACACAAAAACAACAACATCAACAAATTGATCAATTAAAAAGAAAATGAGATTGGTTTGTGAATAATTTCTTAATCTATTTTCATTTTGGACCGATGGAAATAACAATTTACTCTTGATAAACCACAATTAGGTGATATTTTCATTATTCTTGTTCACATTCGAGGTACCGCCATCTTGGTGCACTCGTTTCGGCCTCCATGAGCGAGAACCAATCAGAATTGGATTTTTTTTTAGGCCACTTTCAGCCGAACCAAAAATGAGTTGTCTTAACTCTGGGTATAAAGGGACTCTAGAGCCAATGAGAGATGTGTGATTCTGTTCGTAGATATCGTCCACTCGAATTTCGCCTTCAATTTCACGCATAGGCAGCAAAAATGTCGAAGAGCGCGCAAAAATCACACATTTACGAGCACTCCGTCTTTATGTCTTCGGCCTCATCAGAGCTGGGGCGTTCTACCACAGAGAGATTCTAAAGTTGGCGAAAATGCCGAAAAAATGTTTCATCTCAAAATGAGGTAGACAAAGTCTGTCGAGTGTACATAATAAAACCTCCCGATCCCAGAGGCCGTTGTCTGAAAAAAGTAGCGTCAAGGGAATATCTACCAGAAATACTCAGTATTTCAATACTTCCGGTTGCATCCGCTGATCGCCAGAAACACTTTGATTGCGCGCGAAAGTTTATAGCTTCAAATGAATTTTCACCGGAAATATTCAGCATTTCCGGTTACACTAGCTAATCGCTGGAAACATATTCTAATTGCGTGCGAATTGCGAAACGTCCAGTGAATATCCACCGAAAATACTCGTATTCAACACCAGCTAATCGCCGGAAACGCGCACTGATTGCGCGCGAAAGTATACAGCGTCAAATGAATATTTGGACCGAGTTTAACAGAAAGAAACCAACTCACATCAGCTATTGCCAACTTTAACTTTATTAGGCAATTAAAGTTTTTACGAGAGAGCGTTTCTTCGGATTTCTTTGAACTTTTTAAGGAATTCGCTTCGTACCATGGAGAATTTCACTGAAATTTGCACGAAAATCCGCATAACCGTTCTCATGTAAAAAATTAAATTTCCCAGTAGTATTATTTGAACTGGAAGGAATTAAATTTTTGCAACCTTCACAATCGGCCTGGTGTGGTAAAAAGCTTCAGCTCCAGTTATTCCAACAAGGGGTCCTAAAATTAGAAAGACAAATTACATTACATTAGAAAACCGCTGTCGACTTCTTTTGAGAGATCAGAGAGTAAAGTTCTGTCGCTTTTCAAACATTTGTTCATTTCGAAGTGGTACACCAAAATGACAGTGACCTACTAAACTACCTATTATAACTTCATTTGCGCCCAAAGATTCAAATTCCGGACAGGATAAGTAATAGAAAACGTGAAAGTAAAAAGTTGAATGAAAGTCGCATGGACATGGAATGCAGAATGCTAGGCATGATAAGTTGTGTGCAGCGCCCTCTGGTGACTAGCTTCCGAACGACGACTTGGCAGCGATCGATTCTCTTTTGAGAGGTGGTCGCCCTGTCTCGGAGCTGCGCTAGTGATCTGTGTGTTGACGCCGCGCTTCCCTTCGCTCCTTCGCCATTACACAATAAATTTGTAAACAAATAGATAAAATAGAGATTTTGTGTGTTTTTCGTCTTTCCTTGCTTCGTTGTTAACTCGAATATTGGCCTCGCGTTACGGCGGTCGTTTCAGTGTTACGCGATTTGTAATAAACTTCTCGATTTTCGTGAAAAAGGGAAGTGGTTTTGTTTACGGATCTTATTTTCCAAGTGATATCGTTTTCTAACCTAACTCTTAATGCTTACCATATCTCGGTAAAATTCAAATTGTAACTTAACTAGCTTAATAATTCTAGTAGTTTCGGTTGTTCTTCTCGTAGATTTAGATTCTGATATTTTTATGTGTGTAGTGAATTTTGCTGAAATAGTTCGGTGATCGGTAAATTGTTTTTTGAGTGAGTTGTGTCTAGTGGTCAAGCGAGGATTATACTTTGGCTGACTTCCACTTCTTGGGGATATTCGGTGAGTTTCTACAGAGTTTTTCTCATTATCATACAATTATTCAGGACAGTTCTTTCTAATCTCTGTTATCAATCATATACTCGCTTCCAACAAGGAGAAGTGAGATGCAGCGAAACGCAATTCCTTGACTTCTTTCTTGGGTTCGTTTCCATTTAAGGTAAATTCGGACTATTGACCGCTTAATGTTTCACAATTTTACCTCGCACCTCGTGCATCTATACCACCAATAACATTGGTCAATAATTGCTCTATGAGGGTGTTTATCTGTAGCTCGAAGAGACTAAGTTCTTTCAGAATGTTATGCTTATTTACATAGCGTGTCCGGAGTAAAAATTACTACCTCTGCCTTAATGCAATGGATAGTAATTTGAGTTTCTATTTCACATTACTCTCAGCTTATTCCTTTTATTTTCTGGTATCAGATCTCTACCGATTCCTGCTTGGTTGCAGAAGTTTTAGAATTACCTAGAATTACTCCTTTAGCATAATTTGTATTGGTTTTAAAAGTCAAAGGCATGTAAGAAGAAAGTTCTTTTAAGATAAAATTGCGGCACCCATATGCCTACAACCTAAACCACGTACTGATTAGTCTACCGATATTTTACATATTGATTTCCAGCTACAAGATCACGTGTCAAACAAAACCCCAGATCATTATATTTTGAGTGGTATCTACATTAAAGACTAGTCCGTTTAGTTCTGATTCAGTCACCAATAGACCTCCAGAGAATGGTAGAACCTCAGGATCTCAACAAGCATTGCATAGTCAATGCTTTAATCTTTACATTTTGTAGCTCCCAAGCTAGATATTAAGCAATATTTGTATTGCCTCTTAATTCAAACATCCTGTTAAATTGGGAAACAAAATTTGCTAAAGTGTTGAGTTTTCTCAATTGTACAATTGATTTAAGCGGGTATTGGAGAGGAATTGAAAATTTTGGAAAACCTGCCCCAAAAATTCTCTGAATGTTCTTATTTGCAACGATCAAAAATTTACATATTTTGTATTGAGACCAGGAAGTTGAGCTCAAGTGATTTCAATGTTGATTACAAATCTCTATACCGTGTTCATAATTAGGTTAGGTTTACAAATTTCACCTCTGTCCTTTCCCTGTATTTTCTTCCTGTATTTTGCGTGATATCGGATGACAAAGTATGAATTGTGATGCTTTCATATTTTATTCTACCTGGTGTTTGGTTTGCTCAAGCCAAGGTGTACATATTCAAGTTGATTACAAAAATAAAAGAACACAAAGAACTGGGGAAAGGAAAGAAGAGACATATGTCACACCCACAACAACCTGAGTGTATGAATCATTAGTTACCACATCAATTTAGGTTGAATGGTACTGTTCTCTGATCTGACATTTTGTCCCTTCTTTTCTTTCCTCAGTTCCATATGTTTCATTTTGCAACCTTTTGTTTAAAGGAAAACTAATGAACCTGTCTTGCGGAATGCATCTCAGTTTGTAAATATCGCATCACAATTCTGTGCGATAGGAGCCTCAAAATAGTTGACCGAAATACTGTCGTGCTAAGGAAAAACGACATATGAACCTGTAGGCCTTGCCAAATTTCCTCTGGCAAATCACTAACTCTCATGAAAATTTTTGAATATCTTTCTGCCAATTTCTCTGATAATTTTGTTTGTAATTTGATCTAAAGTGTCTGAAAATTTCAAGGAAAAATATTCACTATTTTCCTCCAAAATAAACATTTTATCGTAGGAAATTTGGCAACTCTCGAATGTTCATACGGCGTTCTTCCTTAGCACGGCAGAATAGACGTAACGCTCGAGAGAAGCACTACTTGCACCCATACCCTATCGACAAAGCCGTGGTCAGATCTCAAATTTCGCCCGCAAAATCGAGCGTATGCAACCATGCTTACCGCGAAGTTAAAATAGTTGCATGTTGGGTTCAAACCCAACTTCGGGTATTAACCTTCCATTGTTTTACGCTCAACGGATCATTTAAATGCCGAGTTTAGCTTTCGGTAAGGCATCTCTTCGTCAGTTGGTATATCTGTATATCGCGTTATTCTGTTTGTAATGTTTTTTTTTCTCTCTCAAGTGTTAACCAAAGAGTCTAGAGGAAGTTGCACGAGATGTTCTCAGATTATCCCAATTCCAAAGGGAGTATTGTCAACTGACGAACTTTATTTCAAATTGAAATTTATGTTACTGAAATTAATTTTTTGATGGAGAGACAGGCTAAAACAATACTTAAGTATTCCGCTTCACATGGATATGAGGAGACCCTAAAATATTAATTTTCTATCGGCGGAAAATGTAGTCTAATCGTTCAATCCTCTTCTCATAATCATACCAAAGTGCTTCCAATTTTTTTGCTGCATTAAATTTCTTCAAACTATCTCGAACAATTTTCATCAGGCAGACTAATCACCGGGGGCTTGGCTGCGGAGCGGCAAGGGGGCAGACCCCCAGTAGTATCTTAAAAGGAGGGGTACCTTTACCAAAAATAGGCAATTTAGATTGTATTTTCCTAGATTTTTTTTTTCGTGATATGCCAGACAAGTGTTCTGAATTCTTTTTTCTCCCTTTGAAAAATGTTCTCTCCCGAGCTCGCTCCACCCTTTTAAGATAGGGTCATTCAAACTTCGCAATCATATCGTTGCAAACGGTGGAATACCCAAATATTGTCTCAAATTTCTTCTGAGACAAAGAGAAGGATGAACTTACTCGATACAACGTGTAACAGTCTGCAAATGATTATTGCACTGAGTAAAAAGCTGAAAAATTCAAACTGATTACTCACTTGCGTATAGATCATGTATGCGTAAGTGACCAATTTAATGTTGCAACTTTTTAATCAAAATGAACTTAGTCAAACATTTTTTTTCGCGAATTTAATTCCAATTTTTCTGTCCTAATCGACGGAAATTGGACTACCGAAAAAATTGTATCCGTGGACTGTATATTCCCTTCGAACCCGTCACAAGTACGCAGGTAAATCGATGCAATTTTGCATCGTAGAATGGCACTCGCCGCAGCCTTCCGGAGTCCAGGCGGGTGACGGTTTTGCCGTTTTGCCAATTTTTTGCATGCGAAGAAAAATGCAAGACGCGTGGGGGGCAATTCCGTCGAGGTGCTAAGCCGGTTCGCGCTGCATCGTCGCAGAGTCACCAACCGCACAGTCGATCTAGTCAAGAGGAGTGGTCGGAAAAAACGTGGAAACTTTAAACGCCTATAACTCCGTTTATACAAAACTTTGAGGTTCTAAAAGTGGTTCCATCGGTTTCCTCGAAAAATTTTCCTCTCGGAGCGATCTTTCAAATTCAGAATGTGGCGAAATAAGCATCAAAATTTGCAGCTCTAGGAACAAATTTCTCGTCCGACCTCTCGAGTTGACTCGATCCACTGTGAACCGGTGCAAAAATGCTCACCTATTTCACGTCCGCGACCACGTAGGGAATTGCAATTTAACCCACTACACTGCAGTTGCGGCTAAGATGACTCGGCATAGCGTGACCCTCCGTGGCACGGAAATGGACCACTGGACAAGGTACAAATTTAAGCAATCTGATACATGTTTCTTAACCAGAATTTCACGTAGAACACGATTCACACAACGAAAATTACTGAAACCAACTCCTAACAAAGATATTAACGTTTTTATTTCACATTGGCGCTACAAGGAATTCGAACTGCCCGCTCACAAGAAACTCAAAGCTCTACGCGAGTCAAATCGCGCACTACAACGGTTTCAGCAAGCCTCTCAACCGAGCAATGTTCATTTTCCACCATGTGTTGTTCAAACTATTAGCAATTTGCTATAGCTGAGCCAAAGCGTCAAGATTGAGGTTGCCAGATGTTTACATCGCAGAAACTGTCACGATAACGTTTAGCGCGCGATGTGAATCACGTAGAGCATTGAGTTTTCATGAGCGGGTGGTTTCGCATCAAGAATCATTAAATATCTTCGTAAGGAGTTAATTTCGTTAATTTTCTATGTGCGCATCGTGTTCTACGTGAAATTTTAGTTACAAAACATGTATCAAAATGCTGAAATTCGTACCTTGTCTAGTGGTCCATTGGCGACATTCCTACCGACACATTATTCCGGTATTTTTTTAGGATTAAGAAGAACTCGATCGGAAAGAGGCGCAGCTAGCCGCGCCAAGAAAGAACATTGCCGTGCTTAGGAAAAACGTCGTATGAGCCTTTAGACGTTGCCAAATCTCCCCCTGATAAGATATTTATCGTGAGGTTACGTACATTTTTCCTTGACATTTTCAGTTATTATAGATTCAGATTAAGAAAGCTATTCAGAATTTTCCCTGTAAATTCGTATTTTATCGAAGGAAAGTGGCTACGTCTGAAAGCTCATATGGCGTTTTTTCTTAGTACAGCAAACGTGACGTCACCGCCAATTTCCATAATTTTTTGCCGTAATTTGCATGTGTTGGTCCGTGGGACATGTAAAGTCTGTACGCTAATCTTAAAATTACTAGAACTATTATTATTGGAATTACTCGTGATTAATTTTTGATAGTTTCAAATGAGGACAACTTTTTCAGAATATTGATTCATGGCAGAGTTTCTTATGCGCAGTATAAATCGTATGATACCAGTGATTATCAGATTAGCTCTCACGCTGTCGGGTTCTCAGAAATTGCTGCTTAAAATTCGATGGCACTAAGTTTCCACTGTTTGTTTATGTGGGGTGATATTTTTCTCAAAAATAATTATGGAATCCTTTATTTCAAGTGGACTCGATCTCAAAATTTGATCGGTTAAAAATGGAATTTCATGATTCAATTTATAGTTCCTCAGCTGCAGACATTTTCTCTGAAGCCATAAAACCCCGTGCTTGACCTCAAGCTTGTTTTTCTTTAAATAAAAAAGAAAAAAATTCGCTTTACTGTTTTTACTGTGGATATTTTAACTCTAATCCTGACTAATCTAAGGCTCGGTCTCGCAATCCCAGAAATCAAAGGCTTATTTTTTCTCCTCTTTGCTTTTACGTTGTCAAATTTTC